AGTGCTTTGCTTCTTTTGCTTCGTGGTTTGGAATTTTTTATACTTTGCCTCAGCTATCTGCGAGTCTTTACTGGTTTTGCATCTACATGTTGTCGTTTGAAAAAGATTATCCTTAACGACTACTTTTGAATCTGAGAATGTCATCTCTTACTTGCTACTTCCCTCTTTATTGACATTGTTAATGCCAGTCTTACGACAGGCAGACTTGAGATGATAGAATTGGCTTGCTATTATTATCGTTCTACACTACAAACTTGACATAGCTTTGTTAAGTTGTACTTTTTGATCAGACCTGTAGTAGCACACGAAATCCCCTGAGGCCCTAGGATTATTGAGAGATAAGATTGAATTAATCCGTCTTTACTCAAACAAGCAGAGTTGTCTATCCTTTTATGCTTGCCTATCGAGAATCACCAGGAGTAAAATGGCTGCTACAGAGTGTCGGATAGGGAAATAAGCCCGTCCAATTTAGCGATCATCGATATATTCCTCCATTTTTATGGGGAGAGTGCTACATACCTTCATATTTTTCCCCAATTCTCCTCCCAGATCCTAACTGTGCTTCGATATCTTCTCATATCGACAACCAGCCAATTTCTGAACAAGTCCAGACTTCATCAAGGTGACGATAAGACTTAAGATCATAGGAGAGGCCTAGCTCTAGTATGATGTGAAGGCCTTGACTTGAAGCATGTGCTTGTCATCTTCTCGAGTAGATCAATACCTTGTAGCCATCGCTGCCGCTGTTGCTGTGTTATAAGTAAATATTCTTCCGAGTTCTTGCTGCCGTACTCCTGATATCTACCCTGGTTATGCAATACTCCAATAATGGAGATTAAAATCTCTACGCCCTTCTTGACGGTTGGCAAGTGATGACTACGGGAGTAGTGAATTTGATAGTCGTCATTTGGATGGATTCGAAATTGAAGCAGAAGTGATACGATCGCTTGAAAGATATGAAAAATAAGTCTGCTATATCTCAAACATTCTTCTCTTGTATGTTCAACATCATAGGGTGGGAAGTAAGACTTTTCTTGCGATTGATCTTGCTAACACTTGAAGTGATCATTCGTTTTCATATCGCGCTGCAATATATGTTTTAAAACTGGCATGTCTGTTGTGACGTTTAACTGAGACTTCACTGGAGAATCCTGATATTAGGCCTCATTTGATCACTCTTACCACACCCAAAAGTCAACCAAAGACAGGAACGGTAGATTTGTTGTGATTTGTTCAATTACTAGCGTAGTTCAATGACCACGTGACCCGCTTCAAGAATCTCGCACACTATTAAAACGAAATCTCGCATCTCACGATCTTCTTTCTGTTTTCCTCAGACCAAGGATGCTTACATGTAAGAACACCCAATATCTCCTATTGTTTTAGCATTGTTTGTGGAGGCGTTTTCTTTCGAGCCAAGCAGTTCAAGTCAGAAATCGAGTGCGCCTTTGTTTTCCTCGATGGATCCCTTGGTTGCAAATAAAGTCGCAATTGAATTGCGAGCTCATCTTGATACGATACCCTCAATCTTCAATTTTTATATAATTGCAAAGAATAACATGAAGACTTTGCTAACTCTTATTCTCTCTACAGTACACAAAATTTATCTTATGATACCTCTTGGTAATGTCGGTCGGTACCTTGGCTCGGAACCAAATACCTTCTCACTGTATCCGGCCCTATCCTTCTCGACAACTCTTTCAAATTTCCTTTCAATGCAGTTTGCCAGTTGATGAAAATCCTCTGGTTTTGCTTAATTGGGATTTTCTCGAGTTTCTTCCCTAGCCGCTCTCTGTTGAGCAAAAAATCGGTCGCCTGATAAGCCCGAATAACAAAGTCACCATGGCATTTGATGCTATTCATACCCTCTATCCTAGAGTATTTTCCCGTCTCTAAGCAAAAATCCAATATTTTGCGATGCGGGCAGCTTCGTATCTCGCAGAGGCTTACCTTTCTACTCTTGAGAAAACCCGCTGGGCAATCAGATTCTTCGAGTGCTTTCATTTCTAGGTAGCGGTAATCGCAGTCAAGTGGATTCAGTTTAAGGATTCTTCTCTTTTATTGTTCTTCAAATCCGGGGTGGTTCGCCAAGAGGTCAAACTTATGTGGTAATAATCGAGTGTCACCAACAACTATCTACCACCCATCCGCTGAGTTCAACATGGGCAAAAAAGGGCAGGGAATTTGAGGAATGAAGCACCAGACTCATGAACGATTACAAATGCCTGGGACTCGTGAATGGAGACAGCTATCGAAAGGTTCAGTAGGCACAAGAGTTTCCAGTGTAAATTATTTGAGTTTCCGGCAAGTTGTAGGAACGGTGGGGAGAACTCTATTGTCCCGGAAATGACGGGGGTTATGCCACTCAGGAGATAGATGTAATTCAAAGAAGGATGTTTCTCCAACATCGCATCAAAGTGCATAAGGTGAGTGCCAAAAGAATGTTCGAGTCAGATTGGACTTGACAGCAAAGTCTGATCATGAGATGGAGTGGTCAAGCTAACATAATGAAGATCTGGAACCAGAGCACAGAAGAAATTGAAATAAGTACAAGTTTTATAATACCCGTTCCTTCGAGATTGACTTGACCTCTTGTAACACACAACCCTCTTTCTCGAAAGTTGCGACTCCATTTCGAGATAGTCCAATATTCCTTCAAACGAACCGCAAACTATAACGCAGACAGTAATATTTATTTCGCGGATGTTTATACATCAAAGCTTCATACTACCAAAAGTCTTATTGTGAGGAATCATCGACTATCAGACGGGAAGACAACATCCACATACTCATAGAACAGACAAATTATGTTTGGATTGTGCATTCGAAGATACAAAAAAGTATCCATTTCGACTGGAGGAATTGCTTTCCGTGGGGGAAAATGAACCGGAGTACACCCGCGGAGCTTCGCAGACAAGTGTTAGGGGAATTCGGAAACTTCTAAGCAAAACTGTGTCTCGTTTGGGTTGAAACCTTGCGAACAAAGAAGCACCATAAATTTGGTTACGCTGGTAACAATAGCCCTGCTGAGCAAATAAATGATTAATTGCCAACCCACTGTTTCGTAATTTCAGAGATTGTGCATAATTTTGTGTGCATAGTCGTCATTTTTGGAACTACTCCCTTAAAGTCGCAAGGTTTGACGGTCGTCAGAGTGAAGAGATGATTTCCGCCCATGTCATGTTATTGTTTGTTATATTATTCCTTTGTCAAACCATGGTTCGGATCTGAAATTATTATCTGTTGCGTTCGTATAGTTTTTGTTGAAGGCGCTGGTATAGATGATTTCTGCAATCACTGTCAGTATTCCACTGTTGCATGATATTAGAGTGTAACTTTCTGCAAGTGTCTTTAGAGCCCCATGTGGTACCGATCAAGCGTTCTCCTTGTGCTACTGCTGTTCGTTGTGTTGGGCAGTCATAAATTATGGCAATAGCCAGAAAGCAGTCCCAATGAGCAAATAAAAGCCACAAACTTAAGGTGGTGTTTTTTTGTAAGTTTTTTCGCGTCAAGTGCATCATTGTTCTCTGCTTGGAGTAGGCTACTATACAAAAAGATCAAAGTGTGAAGAATGGAATCGAGATACGGGCTGCAGGGATGTACCGACCGTTCATAACATGGTAGATGCTATAACTTATGGTAGCGAAGGAAGATATGCGGCATCGACCGATTGCCGAACATTGAGTTGGCAGGTGCTCTTAGGGTCGTAGTTGCACAAGCTTCTTGGTTCATAACTCCTAAGCGTTTGGTATCGATCGATATACCCAAAATCTTGAATCCGTCAAGGAACATGACTGCCATAAGATCTACAGCACCCAACCGCCTATTGTTTCTCCTTGAAACCATTCAAGATACTCACCATCACTTGTAGCGGCCGATCTTCAATTTGTTGTTGCTGTGAATCAATCCTTAGAGCTGTGATGGTGACGTCACTAAACTTTCCTGCGTAAGAACTGACTGCTGATACTAAATTTCCAGTCAATCTTGAAGCAATTGAAGCAGCTGAGAGACCATATTCCTTACCATATCACACGAAACTTCGTTTAGAACTACGAAATTGATTACCCAGCTATCTGTTCCAGACCATGACTTCTTCTTCCGTAAAGTCGGGAAGTGGGGCAAAATTATAACTCGCTTAGGGTTGAAGCTAAAGGGGTCGCGCCTTCCATTGATTGTTAAGGTTCTAAAAGTATAATTTTTAGTCTGACAATGAGGGCTTGTTAATTGCTAGATTAGTCTGGTACTCTGAATTGTTGAAAATGTGTAGATTGTTAAGCAAATTGCATTTTCTAGAATGATCTGAGATACTTAATAAATTTAGTGCTTCATGGCCAAATGATACACTGGCTGCCACTTATACAATTCAAGATCTCAATGTACTTAGGTTTTTTGATTAATTATCTCTAATTCATACCCTGAAAGTATTTGGAGCATTGGGTTGTCTAAGATAATCAAATCACATAGTACCTTAAACTAGTTTGAAACCTTAAGTTTAATTGAATCATCAAAACCAACTCAGCAAACCACAGTCTTGTAAGAACTGTATTCAATCTAAACAATAGATATCTGGCTCCTTCCCCGTTAGGGAATGACAGGTGGAGTGATCCACTATACACTAACATATAGTTTCGATTAACAACAGATCTTCCATTCAATGCTAGTGTATTGAAGGGCTTAGTGGCTCAGTGGTACATCAGATAGTCTGATCTATCATGTCGTAATCGAAAAAATAAGTAGCTTCAGGGTGAGGACTAATTGCGGGGGGAAAGGTTCCACAGCACTGTATATAGGCATACATCCCCCGCCCCCATTTCCTGTTTCCTTTTTTCTCTTCATCGTCAAAACAGATCACAAATTAGAGTATACACACAGAAAGATACAGTTCTTGCTTCTTTAACTTACAAATCATCTCAAATTTGCCTGTTTTAACACTCGGGTATTTCGGTCTACCCACCATTTACAAAATTTCGTCTCAAAAAACACTGAGACAAGGAGAAAAGATGGCTTTCCTTCAACCGGGCTTTTGTCTCTATGGCCCCTGGACCAGAGCTGTGGAGCTCTGCATCCCATCGTTCTGCGTTGCGGATGAAAAAGTCTGGCGTCCGGAGTTCGTCTCCGATTACTTTTCTACCAGGAGATTGGCGGTAACACGCTACATCAACTGGTTGATCAATGACGTGGCGACCCGGGCAAGACTGGAACACGCCGAGGAGGCTTCTCTTTTGGAGGCCCCTACGCAGGTGATCAAGTGGAGTGATCCTGCACCAATCGAGGAGTGGATTCGCGCCACAGCCTCTGTAAGACCGGCTGGGCAGGCAGCCAGCCGGCACTCGGTATCGTCCCATGGGGGAGTATCGGGAATCCTTAGACCGGGATTGAGGCAGGCAGTCTTTTCTAAAAGCTGCCAGCGTGTTGTTCCAGTGGTCTTTGGCTCTTTGGAGGACGCCTCGGTGGCCTCCGTGGAAGGAGAGAGTGGTCGTTGCAGCGGCGAACCACCATTTTCGAATGCACCGGATCCAAAATCTTTGGTCCGCCGCGGACTCCTCTTCTTTCCAGAGCTGGACGTCCGCTATATGTGGGGTGACGAGTATAAACGCGCGAAGGCGCGATTCCTATTGGAAGTTTATGGAATCGACCTTTAGTGAGTTTAATGTGGGGAGTTGACTTTGTGGACGTTGGTATTGTGGGTTTGATTTTTTTGCGGGCGACGGCTTGTGGGCTTTGGCTTTATGTGGGCGTTGGTTTTGTGTGGGAGTTGGCTTCGTGGGCGCTGGCTTCATGGGTTTGTTCTTCTTCTTTTGCGGGCGTTGGCTTTTTGTGGGCTTTTGGCTTCTTCGCCATCTAAAGACGGCTTCAGCGGTTTGCGGGCGTTGACTTTGTGGGAGTTGGCTTTTGGCTTTTTCTGTCATCTCACGATGACTTCAGCGTTTGAAAAAAAAAAAAAAAAAAAAAAAAAAAGGTTCATTTGGGTTTCTAGGATGTTATCCTACAGCGGGAGTTGGCTTGCTTGAGATACCTCTATTTAGAGATCCTCCTCGGAATTCCGTGGAGCTCACGGGAGAAGCACATCAAGTGATGTTTAAAGCCCTACAAAAATATGAAGGCCAGTACTTTCATCGTTCTCCCTTTTCAAAAATCTTTTTAACAGACGCTGTAGCAGATCAATCCGCATCACTTGGTGGTATTTAAGGTCATCCGTACTTTCAGCGTACCACTTTACACGATGGCTTGACACTACCTTTACTTATGTTCGTGCCACACTGCAGATCAAGGTCATGTATTCCACCCCCTTGTCGTTCCGATATCTGCTAATCGAGTAAGTCGTGAACAGACCCCTTTGCTATGTTCTCAGATCATAGTTTTGGGGAAAGGGTAGTAAAGCTCGGAGATACGTCTCACCTCTATCAGACTTGTTCTGAGAAGTATGGTCGTCACATATTCTTGATCCAAAGTCTATGGTATATAAAGAGAGACGAAAAGTATGCTTCTGTTAACTATGTACAAAAATGAAATGAAATTCTCTCATATGCTCATCTCATCTCATCTTATTAGATACCTGGACATTTGACAGCGTGTTAATCTTGTCTCATTGATAGCTCGTACTTCCGAGTTGACTCAAGCAATTATAAATGAAGAACATCATGGAGCAACTGATATTGAGCACCCTGACATCATGATCATAAGGATAAGACTATGAGCGACCGAGAGTTGATTATCAATTGCGGGAACTCGGGAGACCAGTGGCTAATACTACCAAAACATAATCTAAGCAAGCTCGAACATCATTCCAAGGATTAGTAAAGGATTCCTATCAAGGTAGCCGGAGAGTTCAAATGTTGGCCCACATTCTACAATTTTCCTAGAAGTCCCGTCTTGTAATCAATTACCATAGGCAACACAATCAGATATTTGTTCACCGGGATTCACGACGTGAATAAAAGTGCTTGCCAAAATCTGTACCGAGATGCAGGGGCTAATCACAATTCGCCTAGATGAAAATCCATACGGTTGGATTTCTGCTTGTATTATAAATCAGGTGTCAACCTTTTTGGCATAGCCAATGATATAATCGAAAAATGTCAGAATCTTCCGGGCTATCCATGAATGGCTGTCATCGTTCCGGCTGCGGTAGCAATAATTAGTAGCCGCAGTAGCGAATTTAACTTTGGCATTTACTAACGACATAAGCTTTCTCAGTGCCAGACTATTGAAGAATAAATTGAATGAGGTCATCGATTATATCCCATAACAAGTCACACTGCAAGAAATTGAGGCTAATCAATTTTAGTTCATGGGTAGATCTTCTGCACTAGCTATAGAATTTCATTTAAATAATCTCATCCAGCACCATTCTCTCTTCCTTTCTATTTTCTCTTCATCACCACATCATTCCAAAGCTAAGTATTCCAATCCCATCCTTTCACTTCCTTATCACATCACTCACTTTCTTCTGAGTCAACTGCTAAAATTATTCAGGACACAGTGGGGACATTCGCTATCTTCAGCTCTGATGCTGCTTGTACCTTGATTGCTCTCATGACCCATTGCTCTTCGAAAGTGTTCGCCCTGGAGGCAGCACAGGCATGAGAAATATTTTGTTCTTTTGGCCAGATGAGACCGATGGTCTTGTCTGAGAACATGTGGGTACATTGACTTTTGGTATTTGATATATGGTGTTTGGCTTGTGGCATTTTGGCTCTTCTTGCATGGAAAATGTGGTTTGGATGATTGTGAGGCAACTTGCATCGTCTTGTGTTTTTTCCCTTCAGGGTTTTTTTGCACATCGCACGTTAAATACTCTGTGGTTTAGAGGCTTGTGAGGCAACTCGCATCTTCTTGTGGCTCACTCGATTTATTTGTGGCTTAGAGGCTTGCGGGGCAACTCGCATCTTCTTGTGGTTCATTCTCTTGAATGGTATGGAGATTTGAAAGGTAACTTTCATTCTCTTTGACTTAACTTCCATTCACATGGTTAATCGGATATATAAAGGCTTGAGAGGAAACTTTCATCTTTTGGTGGATCGGCACAAGAGTATTCTGTGGTTTGGAAGTTTGAGGGGCAACCTTCATCTTCAATTTACATTTCTTTAAGCGATCTGTGAGATAGAGGCTTGTGAGGTGACTTGCATCCTCTTGTGGCTTATTCCTTTCGGGACTGCTACACATTCGCATTGAGCTTTTTGACCTGTAGATATTTGGAAAATGATGGGCGGCGAACCATCAATGTGTTGGCTTTACGTGGGTTCTGGGGGTCATCGGGATTGGGGTTTTTTACTCTAACTCGAAGGCCTGTTAATCAGAAATCTTGATCCATTGGTATGAAGAAAGACTCCATGATTTCTTTCATTCGTGGTAAGTGGTTATTTCGGAACGGCCGATGTCCAGAGAAATCCTGCTTATCTAGCATGCCTCTCATTTTCCGCTCGCATATTCTGCTCGGATGCGGAGAGCAACACAATTCATCGCCCAGTAGTCTAGGAGACTCAATTCTAATGATTCAGGAAAGAGTGAATCTTAGTTCCAAGTACTTTTGATAGACGGTAAATTTTCTAAGTCGGAAAGACTAGGGGTAGATTACATCCTAATGTCAGCTTTGAGAGATGATACTCATGACTGATAGATTTATGCGTGCAGAATTTCGTTAAAAAAAAATAGCATTCGCAATGGACTGTCAAGGTACCTGAGCAATATTGACAACGAGGTTGTCCAAAAGCCCTATCTAGGTATGTTTAATTCTCAATTTTGAAGCATTCACTAACGGAAATCAATTGTGAAGTTTGCAAACAATTCAAGCTTAGACATAGTAGTAGTAGTAAATTCATAATCGATTCGATCTATATAGCTATACTAAGACCATACAATACACTTATATCTATATCTAATTAAATGAAATAGATAGAAAAAAGATATAAAAATCTACCTCCTTTTAATGTCCTATTAAATTGTTTATATTGTATACCTATTCTATCCAACACTTATAGTCTATGATACCTGTACTTTCAAAGACAATATTGTTACAATTGCTTTGTTTTCATTTTACAAGTTAATAATATATAGCCTATTTCCACCCAGCATAATAATATAAATTCCCTTTCCCCTTTTTTATAATACAACGATTTTTTTTGTTGTTATTAATATTATTATCGTCACAATAATATAACTCTACAGTTACCTGCCTCTGCCCTATAACAACCATATTTCTTTGTTTGCTTTTTATCTTCCTTACTCTTTTCCTCTTTATTTATTTCACCTAATCTTTTATTTATCTTATCCTTTATAATAGGGTATAAATCCCTTTATCTTCCTTTGAATATTCTATTATGCTTTATTCTATATCTACCCCATCATCCCTTTATCCCCATCAATTCAAACCTTAATCTATCGTTTTCAAAGTAATACTCTTTCAAAATACCTCTCAAAAAAAGAGTAAATGTCTAAAAACTCCCTTTCCGCTTTTATCCTATTGTATACTTATTTTATAATTATTATATCAAATATTTATATCAATTTACTTATAATATTATTATAACCTATATTTATACTCATAAGAAATGCCCCCGTTATTATATTAGGAAGGGTGTATGTCATAATATAGATATCTTATCTTTAGATTTTAGCTTTAAGAATTCCTAGTTGATAAAACATTTGTTAATATAAATTTCTACAAATTATATAAATATTATAATAACTGTTTTATATATCATTACCATTTATAAAGAAAGTATACAAAAGATTACAAATAATTCTAATGTTTATAATAACAATTAAAACCTTAATATCTTTATAGTTACTTATAACCTTTATACTCATAAAAAGTTGCTTATTATTATTAATACTATTAATATTAATTGATTTTTTAAAATTCCTTCTAAGTATTACAATCTCTTTGATATATTTGAGGCTATTATATACATTATAATTGAAAGGTTGTGCTATACTTTCACTGTTGTTAAAGCTATTATACAGATATAATAGATCAAAGCTATAAAATCCATTACATCCTTTTTCATTCAATTTGTTGATATATATTGTATTTTTATAGATTGTTTCTTATATCCTTCTTGTTATTGTTATTGATTAATATAATATAATTTTTAGGGGGAGGATCTTAATAATAATGACAAGGTTAATACGGAAATTATATCTCGATTCTTTAAAAATGAAGTTTAAGGTTTAATAAAATCTTATCAATATTATTATGTTTCTATAATTATCTTTATAATTTCAATCTATATTTTTAGTATTTATATATTAATATTCTTAATGAAAATATATATTAAAAAAGTAGTTCTATTTTAATAAGTTATATAGCTACCCTCTTAAATAATCCTAAATCTTATACGAAGTTATATATCCATTACACCTAGATTTAGAGCCTTCATTGTTATAATATTATATCTATATAATAAAATATAATGTAATTAATAATCTAATTCCTTTATTTATATTATATATACTTCAATATATATCCTAAAATCCTTTGTTTTACAAGGAAGTCTTTCAAATCTATCTTTTTTATTCTAATATTTAATATCATTAAACTAATCCCTTTTTTAAAATCGTTATAGACCTTGAGCTAGCCCCTATTAATTTGATAATTCAGAATTATAGGTATTCTAGGTTTATAATAGTTCTGAAAAGTGTTTCTCCATATAGCCATTCAATCTACTATACTTTGAAATTGAAAATAGATTATTATATCTATTTAGTATAAAATTCGTTTATTATTCTTTCTTATCTTATATTTTTATTTACAATCCCCAATAATTTTATTATACTTCAATTTGAATAAAGCCCACTTGAGCTTTACCCTTCCAAAAATAATATAGATTCTCTCTAATTTCCTTATAGATTTATATCTCCTATACATTTTATTATATTCTTTTTAAATTAGTTTCAATATACCTATCCCTTTTAATCTAAATTTTATTATAACTTGTAGCTTGTTTAAATAAATATCTAGAGGTTTCGTAAAGGCTTTTACATATAATATATAAATGAGTGTTACTCTATAAGCATTAGAGATTATCCGAAGGTAAGCATTTTGTTCTTTTTAAAGATTAGAAATAATAGATTTAGTCATTATTTTAATAATTATTAAAACATATCATATAAGTAATACATATATTATTATAAGTAGTATTATTACTTTATATATTTATTGAGATAAATATAAATTGATTCTTCAAGTCGATATTATAATCCTATATAAAGCGAGTATCTAATTAATCAACTTTCCTTTTATTTACTAAATATATTCTCTTCAAAATAGTTTGAAATCCAAATAAAGGTCTAATACTTTAATACTTAACTTCGATATTATTACAATAAAGTTGAGCTAAAAGGAAGCTTCTATATCATAAAGTTTAGAATATTAAATGAAATAAAGTAATTAGTATTTTATTAAAGTGAATTATATATTATATTATTTTACTTATTATATACATTTCTTATAGATTTTATATAAAATGTATATATTTTCTATTATAGTATTACTTTATACAAGGATATTAATATTATCTATGAAACCTATTATATTAATATATTATTTAATCCTTGTATAAATATCAATAAGTTCATTATTATAAAATAGAAAGAGAATTGAGCTTAGCGGAAAACCTTAGGGAATACTATTTAGGATTTTTATTTAAGGATTAATATAATTATCTATTTGAATATTATTAATTCTATTTTGGAAAAAGTTTATTATAAAATTAATTATTTAAATAAGTATTCCTTTATTCCTTAAAATATAAATCAATTTAGAATATAAAGTATTATTAAAGATTTTAAATATATTTAGATTAAGTATATTTACGATTTTCTTTAATCTAATATTTGTTACAACGGATTAGTAACAGGCTGTAGAATCACCAACGTATAGGCTATAATGGTACTATAAGCCTCGGTGATTCAGCTGCAGTATACCGGGGGACGCTAGGCACCCAGGAGAGCCTCAGGCACGTATATAGTATTAGTCATAGTATACCCTAGAAACATAGGACATAGTTCCCAGGACAATAGGTCCTAGGAAAGACAGAACACAGTAAGCAAGAAGGCTTCACTAGGATTAGTAATGTCCCAGGGGATTAGCCCCAGGACAAAAGAATAAGCTAGGACACCAAGAGTCACGGGATTAGTGTCCCGTGATGGACAGCTCAGGAACGACAGCGCTCCAGGAGCGCCCGGCTGTCCCAGCTGTCCAAGTAGGACGAAGATCTATATAAGGGAATGGGTTTCATTACAATGTAGAGCTTCGTGCTCAAGAACAATCATTAGTTTCATTACTATAGTTACGAGAATTGCAACCAGTTACAACCTTATTGAATTCCTACTTGAAGTCTAGTCTAAACCACCTCGAGAGATCTCTAGACACTTCCACGTGACCCTAGAGGCAGCTCCCGTAACAATATTCTATATTATATAAGTTTATTTAATAAATATCTTTAAAATAATAATAGTATTTTATTCTAATTATACCTTCATTTGAAATTTAAATAAAAGATTATAGATTTTTGTAGTATAAAATAATTATTCAAATATAATTTTTTTTTAAAATTTTCCTAAAGTATTTAGAAAAACAATTAAGTAATATAACTTAATCTATTATTTATTCTTCTTTAACTTATAAAGAAGGATTATATATACTTTTTTTTAAATATCTTTAGATAATATTTATGGGCTATATAGGCCCAGAACAAATAATAATAATAGATATTTATTAATTCAAATTTTAATATAAATTTAATAATAAAATTCGTAATTATTAATAATTCTAGTATTTTATAGGATTTTAATTTCATTATTATTCTAATAAAATATACTTTAATTAATTAAAACTTTATATTTATTATAAAAGGATATCTAAAGGAATCTTCTATATATTAGTTTATATTAAATAGATTTGTCATTAATAGTAATATAAAGAAGTGATTTTTAAATATTATTACTTTATCTTTCCTTGATATTACTACCTCGTTTTCTTAATAGAAATTAAAGAACTAAAATATTATTTTAAACAAATGATTTTTATTCTTAACCCACCTTTCCAAAGTTTATATACTATTTTTCTTTTTTATTACTATCTCAATCCTTTTTGAGAAGTATTTCATTATTTCATTTTGAATTACCTTTTCCTTTAGTTTTTATGTCTTATTGAGAATTTTATAAAAATCAAAAAAGAGATTAATAGTATATTCTCAATAAAGTGATTAAGTTCATTTGACTAATGCCATATAATATTTTATTTAATATAATTTGAAATATAAAGATATAATTGTTATAAGTATACTATCATTTATAGCTATCTGTAAATAATAATATATCTTATTAATATAATTATTAATTTCATACGTTATCTCTAATAGTATAATATTCAACATATTATTTATAATACTATTCCTAAACTTGTTTATATTTATAGCTTTCTATAAAGATTTCAGTAATAATTCAAAGATATATAATCATATTATAATTCTAATAAGAAATAGAATATAATCTGAACTCAAATCTAAATGTTTATAAACAATAATGAAGTAAACTTAATTCAAAATCTCATTTAAGTTTCAGACAAGGTTTATTATAAATTCTTAAATTCTTTTATTCTATATTATAATTTCTTTTAAAATAATAAATATAAAAAGAAATTAGTTGTAAAGATCAATAAGTTTTTTATTATATATTTCCATAAATACTACTTTTATTTTCCCTCAGAATAAATAATAAAGGTTAAAGTCGCCCAAAATTATATATTCTCGATCTAGATTCTTTAGTTGATAGGAGATTATTAATAAAACTAATAATCTAGTAGCTCTATATCTGACCAATAAGATAGGGTTATAGATATTAGTAATCTATATTTGCCATTTAATATTTCCATTCTAAATCTCAAAATAGACAAAGTAAAGGTTGCATATAAGAATGCCGAATATTCATCTATAAATATCCAAAATCTTATTTATATATAATATTACTCTAATTCCGCTTTTCTATTTATAAATAAAATATCATTATTAATTATTATTATAAATAGACTTATTAAATAAATTAATTTAAGGTTTTTGGATTATAATAATATGATATTATACAACCTCCTTATAATATAGAAATATAATTATTATAGATTTCTATTTGTTAATATTGTATTATAGTATAATAATATTCTAATATAATATCATAAGGATTCTAAAGGTTGGTTCTAATTATTAAATGAATTGCTACTTAAAATAAACTCTTGCTTCGTTTTCATAATACTAAAACTTTAACCCCAATTCAGGGATGATATTCTGAATCGTTTATGTTGTATCATTTTTTATCATTAAAATAATATTGACTAATATAAGCTAGTAAATATAAATTGATTATTTAAGGTAGCACCAAATCCTTGGCTTTTCTACACTAAAATGCCAAATTGATTATATTCATTCTCTATTATAAAGTAGTTTAAAATAAAAGATACTATTTGCTTTATATATTCGAATTTCTTTACTAACTTATAATAGCTATACCTATCCTATATTCTATAGTTTTTCTTATAACTGATACATTTCCATTTTCCTTTATTCTCGATTTCTTTATTCTTATATTAATTTGAATGATAGGTTTTTACATAATTACTATATATTATTTGTCTAATATATATAAGTAATTTATAGTTTTCAAATTCTTAATAGTTGTAATATTAATTTAATAAATATATTATATTATAGAGATTAATCTTTAGTTATATTTCATTATAGAATAGATTATTGAATAAAGCCTAATTCGCTGTTTTTAAAGAGGGTATAGTAATAATAATAAATAATATTTCCTTCTTCCCAATAATTTTCTTATATAGTCAGAACAAATGGTTTATATTTAGATCAATCTTGAAATTGTTTATTATAAGGACGGCCTCGAATCCTTTTTATATTAAACCTTTTTTCAGGCCGATTTATTCTATTTTTATATTATATATAATAACTTAATTTATAAATCGTTTTATTTTTACATTTGAAAAAATAATATTAACTTAAATGAAATCCTTTATAAGCTTATCATATCCCTTTCGAATTTTGATTATAATAATAAATTTAATATCTAATATCCTATTGATTCCTATCGTATTAGTTCCTTCTACTTTCTTATTAATATTCTCTAATATATCTTTATTAAATATACCCTTATATCTCTCTATATCTATAACATTAAAACTAATCCGAACATTTTGAAAAATATATATGATAATAGGTTTCCTAATTAGATTATTTATATCGGTATATCGTATAAATATCGATCCAGCTTTTAATATATTTATATATAATTGTATTTGTTGTTCTTTTAGTACTTCTTATATCCCTTTCCCTATATCCTCTTTTAAAGCTTTCAACACTCCCTGAAACTATCCTGGTACCTTTTCATTAGTGTTATAATAAGTAGCTCAAATATTATAAAGTTTTCCTATCTTTATCTTCAATGCTTTTATCAAATTATACTGATATATTATTAATTTGATAATCGTTTTCAAGAGTTCAAATATTGTTATATTAATTATTTCTTAATATTTTACTTCAAAAGTCTTTATTTTCTTTATTTTAAATATTATTATAACCTTAAAAAATTCCTATAAAAGTATTTACTAAATTTCTAATAATAATGATATATTTATTTAGATTTGTTTCGATTAAAGAAACCTTATAAAAGTATTATAAACCTTTGTTTACAATTCTATAATAATTCTACAGTTTTATTTCAAATTTTCAGAATGCTCACTTTTCCGTGTTTTTAACTTAGATATATAAAGATAATATTCTAGTATTATTACTCGGTACATATAAATGCATTACATTATCCCGCCGACTTCCACCCCTCGAAAATCACAAAAGAAAAACAAATCTTCTCCAAATAGTCCGTGGACTATTCATACAAAGCGGATTATTTCTGAACCCTAACAAATAACAAATAACCAACAGCCTATGTAGGACATCTGAAGCAATCCACAACTCGAACTGCTTGTGGGTATTTGAGAAGTACAAGCATCTAGTGTGCAGCCCGGCGAGAAACAGTAGAGTTGCTAGCAATGCTTGAGCTTGAGCTAGCTGCAATCTTGCAATTTGCTGCGTAGTTTGGATTGGTAGAGTTGGACAAGGTATAAGAAGAGTCGATAGTGTAAACATCGGTTCCGCTAGTATATCCAGTGTTAACAGCATAACTGATGTCCCATGTGTCCGTATACATGGCACAAGCTTGGCCTTGAGCAACACCGTTCAAGTAAAGAATATAGGTATTGATGAATTGACAAGTTTGTACACCAGTTGCAGATGGATGAGCAACATTGAATGCAGTGGTGGCATCACAGGCTGCTGTGCAAAGGCTGACATCGAAGGGGGTATCAGTGAAGAAACGAGATCCGAGGTAAGTATCAGCCTTTTTGCAATCCAATGGAGCATTGATAGAAGCGCCTGCAAGGGATGTAGGTGGATTATATCCACCTGGTGTTGGGAAAGAATTGAGGTTGTAACCGTTTGATCCTGCAATGACAACACGGAATGTGCTGCGCCATTGACCATCGTTGACTGCAGTTTTGGCATCAAGTGCACCACCCCAGAAGACACATTTGACGTTGGTCATGGAAGATGGGTTTGTGCAAGAAGCACCTGGATCGACAGATGGGTCGCGTTCAAAGTAGATGTTGAAGGCATTGCATCCAGTGATATCGGAACACTTGCTAGCACAAACTTTGGTATCGTATGTAGGCAATTGTGTGAATCCCATGTATTTCAAAGCATTGTTGGATGCTTTAAGGTTAACGAAAGATCTGGTAAAGCCAGATGGAGTTGCAGCGCTATTGGCTGTATCAGCAAATGGCTGATAAGCCAAAAAAGATTCTGGATCATCTGCTGGGTTAGTTCCAGTATAGATGGTTGCTGGTTGAGTTGAGCAATCACTATCTCTGGCCTCAAGTTGACCAGTTTTTCTTTTTGTGGCCAACGTGGTTTCTATTGCCTTGACAGCTGAACTTGTGGTAACAGCAGCGGCGGCTGAGGAGGTAGCAGCAGTAGGATTATATGTGACAACCTCGGCAGTAATACCGACTGGTACACTTTGAACAGATTGTACAACAGGGTTGAGGGACTTAAAGTCAATCTTTTGAGGATGAGGAGCGGCGTTGGCACCTGCAGCAGTCAATGCCACCAAAGCGAAATCGGCAAAACGCATTTTTAAAAAGAGGAATATATTAAGACTTGATAAATAAGTTTGAATATGAACTCAAGGAGAGGGTTTGAAGATTGTTCGGAAATGAATGGAAAGTTTGGAGAATAAAGGACTGAGCTGTAGATACTCTGGTAGATGATGTGAAAAGAAATCATATTGAAGGAAAATGGCATATACTTATACAAAATCAATGGCAAAACCATCAGCCATGTTCTCGCATCTGAATTGAAGTCCTCAAACCTGACTAAAAGTTCACAGATACCGATATCGACTTTTTCAATATTATAATTGGTGTCGGATATCCCGTTGCTTGACTTTTCCCGGAATGTTGTGAGCTGCTTTGATAGAATATGGAAGTTCCAAGTGCCTCAGAATTAGCCATTGCCTTCCCCGAAACTATCGTAATGCTAGTCCAAGTTTTGGCGCCGTCAATAAGCTAGATTGCATGTTTCCGCTGAATGTTGTGAGCGGTAGCAAACCGCCTTGTGAGGTAAGAATAGCCTTATCAAACTAAAAAAAAACTCATTGACGTTCAGCAGAACAGTGGGATGGTGGAGATAAGGACCCCTTCTTCCTCTTTTTAAAATTATGAGGGGACTGAGAGTATGTAATACGAGGAAAAGTGATGTTTTGCACCAGAGTATTGTTCTGAAATTAGTCGATATCAAAGAGCCACAGGGCCGAGCACAACATTTTGAGCCGCCACTTTCTCCACATAACAGATAGCCAAGATAGGAACAATACCGTGGCGTCGATCAGAAGGGCTTCTCCAACTTTGGACAGTAAACAATGCACCGAGATCTTCAGTGCGATTATCTGGATCTGAACAAACCAGTCCCGAAATGTCGATCGCCGTTGGATCAACAGATATCAACAGCGTGAGTTTAATCAATCTTTGACCATGTCGGGAGATGCGATTTTAAGATATTTCTTCTTGTCCAGCATTGACAAATACCAAGTACCGAAAGTATGGCGTAGTATTGCCTTTCTGTTCTTACTCATACGACCAAAAAGTATGCAACCCCGAAGCTAGCTAGAGGCTCATACCACAACAACGTGGTAAACTGCAAGAGAACTAACCCGAATCTCTTAGTGGGGAAGTTTAATATTTCCCGGTAGCACGAGTAACTTACTAATAATCCGATCTTTAATTAGCCCGGAATCTGTTTAGTCAAAGCAGCTGGTCTGATCGAATTTCGGAAACAGGGTCCACATGTCAACAATGCAGGAATCTAAATGTGAGAGCTTGGCATTCTAATTCAAATCTAAGTGATAAATAGAGTGAATGGCTAGGTAGTTGAAGTGTTATGTATTCGCTAAACTTCAAATTCGGCACATATCCGTACGCTAGATGACGATAGTTGATGTACTATTTGTGTGTATGACTCTTTACTATGGTATTTAGGGCGAAAATATTATGAGGAATGAGTTTGATAGAGAGACATGAATGGATATCGGATCTTAATTCGGATACTGCGTATCTTCCTAAACCGTCAGGTTTTGAGAGTTTCAACCCAAGCTGTGGCAACTACGAAAGCTCCAACTCCGATATTTTATTGTCATTTCAGCGAGAAAAAAGATTGCTTTGCACTCAACCTTTCGATAATTTGTGTTTGGAATGTATACACATATATCGAAGATGTAGTGTGTCCTCTGTACGTATCATCTAAGCAAGAGATGACTGCTTCTATGTAAGTAGTCCCACATGACGAGAAATGTTTTTCTCGGCAATACTTGGGAATTTTGGTCTTCCATGTTGCAATGTCTAGAAAAACTACTCCCAGAGCATGTATATTCCATGAAGTCTAGCAGAATTCATGTCATGGCGGTCAGGATGAAGGTACAGAGCGTCGCTATTGATTGATTCTTGATAGCGTGCGTAAGAATTTCCTTTTCCTGGACGCGAGTGACCAATTTGCACGAGGTATCGGGACCTGAGCGCAATTTGACCTGGAATTGTTTGACTCGTATCACATTCACATAAAGTGTATCATTCCTTCCCCCAGTTCTTCTCTTTCCTGATTTTTCTATGGGCTATGTTCTTCTCTATAGGTACTGATAGTTTCCCATTCATCCACACTCATCTTATTAGGTTGAGGAAGATTAAAACGGAGAGCTTAAATAGGTATGTTTGTTTAATTCCATTTCAACGTGTGCAGCTCCAAAAAAAGATATCAACTTGTGGTATTACCACAGGTGATTGTATATGCACCTATATCGGTAACTCCCCCAATGCTAAGTATCTGACATGCTATTCTCTGTTGAAAGTCATTAGTCTTACAAAAGCTTCACATTATGTAAACAATGGATGGTCCGAATCCAAGTTTTAAACCTTGCATAGATTGATCTTCTACCTATATATTGAACCTTTCATCAAAAGATCCGCAGCCAAATGGCGAGTCCCGATACCCATGCAGTAACCAAAAGAGTCCAACATGTTGCTACCCCTAGATTCGTACCGCAGCAACGTTCACTGCTCGGCCAGTCAATACTTGGCCTCCCAAAATGGATTGTAGTTAGCCATATTAGCCCTCAAATTTTCTTGATATCTCCTATGTTGCTCAGCGTCTCTCCTCTCATCTGCACCGGCCCGCGTAAGTTGATATTCGATGTCTTGAGCGCATTTATCGATTATGCTTTGTATAGTACGGGCTCTAGTAGAGCTGAGGGCTATTTGGGGCGACTGGAATAAGGGATAACCATTTAGTTGGACAGAAACTTTCAGATCTAGGTTGGATGCCATCTTTTTGATCGGTATTGGGAGCGTTAATGTAGATGTTAGTTAAATTATGGTCACTTTGAAGTTGCCTGGGGGTTGTTGGACTCAAAATAGGAAGAAGCTCAGCGGAAACAGATTATTATATAAGAGCACAGAGAAAAATTTTGGTCTTCGAATCATTCATCGATATTGAAACATTATCGGTATGTCTACCTGTGGATGGAATGAACTGCAATGATTGTAGTCTGGAAATCACCTCGGATTCACTTCAAGCACCGTTCTTCCCAATTTGAATGGTTACGAACGGAAAAAGCCAAAAAGATGCAACGAACATTCAAGAATTCATTACTGTTGATGACATTTGAGATTTGTCATGGAAAATTTTAGAAAAGGCTACACAATTTGAGGATTGAAGTCGAAAATTATCTGGTCTTCAATTATCTGGTCTTCGATCTAGATTTGTTTCCACATAATACTGGTCGTTGGTGTGTTCATTGCTTTAAGGTATGCCAGGTCATATCGGCTGCAACAAAGAACGTGGAAGCACATAACCATCTCTTTCCCATTTGATGGAGGCAAACATTCTTTGATGCTTTCACTTGAAAGAGACTAAGTATAATTTTACGTCCTGTTGAGCTCAATAATATCGCAGTTGGACATCTCTGGCGAAAATACGCTCAAACCTGCAGAATAATCAAGGCAACCGCAATCTCATCACAATTAGAAAGGCTTTGTAACTATTTGACGATTGAGTATCTGACATGAATCTGACGATTTCATCGAACCCCGAAACATGGCAAAGAGGTTGTCCAAATCCTCGACCTCATCTCAAACAAGACGACGTTCAATAAGAATTCTCACTAAAAGATACATTCCGCAACAGCCGCTCCGCCAACCAGGACCTACAAATTGCAACACGCTTCCACGTGAAGTTCAAATGATCATAGTTGGCAAAGTCGCTAATGAAACTCCTAGACGGCTGGTATTGAATCAAGAACTTACGCAATTGTGGACCATTTTGAGAATCAATAGTACAAGTCGAGCTGTTACTCTCTTGAATTACAGGCTCCTATTCGAAGGAAATTGCCCATTCAGACCCGAAAAGCATTACATGTTTTTCAATCCTGACATTGACACTCTGTGTATATTAGATTGGTCAATTCTCAGGTCTTGTTGGCGTTGGGACATCGATCTTGATCTCTCATCGATCAAGCACGTTGAGTGTGAAACTAAGGATTATACATACGTCTTGATTTTGTTCGATCATTTAGATACAATAAAAGTTCATTGGCCTATCCTATGCACCAATTTTGGAAGAGCGTATCCGGAGCTAGAAGTTAAAATGAGAGATTTGAAAGATGATATTGAACAATGGGTCGAGGAATGGCATCCTGAAAGACGTAAACCTGAAGTTGAAGTAGTCCTTTTTGCGGAAAGAATCGAGTCGTATAAACGAAAAATTCCAGTACTCATGATCCCTTCAAATTCCGAGTATAACCTTATATATTAGACCTTATCGTCGGAGCTCCTTGGAGGCAACATTTGTAACACTGGAACGAACGTAGGTTTTGGGACTTTTTAAAGGCGTAAATGTAGGAGAATTAGTAAGCTTACTTCGATCATATTCAGGATTTCCGTAGAATAGTGTTTATTAATCTGTAATAATACTCCCGAATGTCGCATTTGGTGATCATAAGATGAAATTTGCCGATTATGGCGCTTAGGCGCTAATTTACAGCATATGCGATGCGAGTCGAGCGAGTATGGCTTCTGATAACGATTATATTATGCCAAGGTAACTTCATCGACCACATGGTATTCTAAACCATAACCTTACTTTACTCGCACTCAAAATGACCGAGGTGAATTGTTGCTAATCTTTAATAGATTTGATACTTTTTACTACTCGTTTCTTCGGAAGCGCGACGCGATTGACCACGCACGCGGCGCGTAACAGGTACCCCTCGTCGTTACTTTTGAGCCCTTCGGAGACCACGTTCCGATACGCCATTCACAGTAGATCAAGATTTGTTATGTAACTGGGCATGTATTAACAATTCTTCTCTACACTATTCTCTGCCCGTATGTTGAATACTCTCATTCCCCGCCTCAGACCTCTCTCTCCTTCAACTTGGCATGCAAAGCTCTTGGTTCAAATACAAGGTACGCTCGCTGATCAGTCCAGTTCCAGTCATCCTTATCTAACAACTCCATTTCGAAATTCCATATCATCCTAGCCAGTGTTACTCGGGCTTGTGCCAGGAATGTTCTGGTATGACGTATTAGCATTGGTTGTGAATTTCCAAAAGGCTGCATGAACATACTTTCCTCCCATACAATTTCTTGGTCCAGCTGAAAAAGGCTTGAACGCTTCTTTTTGATCCCTTCCAAATCGAACATCATATAGTGGGTGGCTTTCTGGGAGAAAACGTTCTGGGTGAAATACTTTTGGTTCGAAGAAATTTAAAGGCGATGTCTGAGCTGTCTGCATTGCTATGCCGATTACACTCTATCTTAATGTCAGTCACAATCAAAGTAAAAGTGGTAAATGATCTAGCTTACTCCACCGGGTACCCATTGACCTGCGATAGCTGCACCCTCAGGAGGGACATTTCTAGGTAGATGAATTGGTGTCGGGTGATGAATTCTCAATGTCTCATTTATGACTGCTTCCAAATAAGGTAATTCTGATGTCGATTGAACATTGATATTCTTTTCTTCCGAGTAATATGACCTTACTTCCTCAGCCAACCTCCTCATTGTTCGTGGGTATCTCATCAGGAAATAACAAGAGGTAGCCAACGCAACAGTGGGCAATTGACATCCTGCTATCACGATAGCAAGACCATTGGTATTCAATTCCTTTCTCGTTATGCCTTTTCCACCTTCTGATTCACTGACATTCCCAATAAGAGGACTGACGAAATCAGATCTTTCAGCTCCCAGATCTCCCATTTCCAATCGATTGGTAATTCTATCCGTTGCCAATTTCCAATTTTGTGCTCTTATCTTTGCAGTTAATCGGAGAAACAACCAGCCAAATATCACTTCGAGTGGGTGAAATCTTTGGATACTATTTCTTACGGATCCAAATTTGGCTCCCAAAAAGAATCCCAAAATCCATGAATGCTCATTATCTCCTTCAAGGCCATGGAAAGATTCTCCGAACATGAGATCAGCGTAAATGTCCAGTGATAGGTATCCAAAGAATTTCGCTAGATCGACTTCTCCAATAGGACTTTTCATTGTTTCACGTCTCAATCTCTGAAGTAGCAGCTCTATGTATCCTTCGATAATCTTACTTTGCTCTCGAAGTGCTTTGTCAGAAAAAGCATTGGCAAAATTGCGTCGAATACGAACATGTGTATCACCAGTGGCTGTGAATAATGACTCCGCGCCATTCATAGGAGGTGTCATGCTAAATGGGTCTTTTGTCATTTGTGGTCTTCTGGTATACACATCTTTCCAGGCTTCAGGAGAAATAGTAGTAAGTTCATCCGGAGCCATTCGCACCACTGGTCCATACTTTTCATGAAGTTCATCCAGATATTTGTAAGTGGTTCCAAGAATTACGTATCGTATAAGGGGTAGTCTTGAGATCGCCAGACGTTTTGGACCTGGAAATTTGGCTAATGGTGAAAAGTAAAGATTGTAGATTGCAAAGACTAGATAATACTGGTATATGTTATTTTCATTGGCGTCGATTCAATTGTAGTGGAATACTTACAAAAATAAACAGGAATATTGCAAACACTATTATTTCTTGACGATTCGGGAAGAAGCTGATCGACCACATGATCATGGATGAATCAAAAATTCAGATCATAGACTACAAAAGGAATTTTGGAAGCAATATTTACAAGAAAGAGATAGTAGCTTGCACGACTGTCATCTAGATACAATGTCATCTAGATTTGCTCAAGATCGCCATTCGGACCATGAAGCCTATCCCAAGACAGTGGGGACAAATATTGTCAAGAGCGGAGAATCATGTCTTAACATAATGTGAGACTTTACTTGCCAAGTAAAACCGCAAACCACCAAGAGATGTAACCTCCCACAATGTTCAACCGAATCAGTAAGGCAGGTGGCTCAAGCTGATTTTGTGCTACATGGGACTAATATGGCTACATGCTGTGTTTCTTGTCTTACCAAAAGTGATACTCCTTCTAATTCGGGTTTGGTCTTCAAATCACCGTTATAGAAGTGACTTTGCGAAAAGATTTGTAATAGTCTATGATATGGTGCATCTGAAAGTTGTTGAGTTACCCATAGTTACTCAGTTACACGGTGTCGATTCTCATGCACCACTTGATCGCTGAATTTGAGGATCGAGATCTTGATATGACGCAAACGTGTGAGGAAAGAATCTGCATTCGTATACGAGATCTATGGAAATTGTTTCAACCTTCAAATACTGTCTTGCAAGCTTGGGAATTCTATTCATGGATCTGTCCTCTGTCTTGATGTTCGAGATGAACCCACAATACAATGTGTTAAGCCCAACTTTTCAGTGTCTCGTTGTCGAAATATGAGGTCTAGCGTCCAATTCACAGGGAAAAGTCGAAATAGCAAAAATGAACCACCACCCCCTTAAGCAATTGGCGTTCAAGGTTGAGAATAACTTCAGATTTAACCTCGTATATTTGGTATAGATACGGGATTGATGTGATGTAATTGGGGCTCTTGAAGTTTATTTTCGGTACCAGGGGGTTAGACAATTCAGAGAATAGTGAGGCAAAAGGAAAACAGCCAGGTATCATATATGACAGATCATGGGCTATCCTGATGATATCATTACACAAACTCATCACTATACCTACGTCCAAATCTCTACCTGCTGCGTGAGTTACTTGAGAATGCAAACTAGCATCCACAATCGCCTCAAATCCCAACTGCATTGCTGCCGCGTATGCACCTCAATCTAATAGACTGCCGAGACTGCAATGAATGCATTATGCCAACGTTATCCTTGATCTCAATATGCATCATAATTGTTGCAGTTATTTTTACAATAACATGCATAGTATTCTACAGTATGTCTTTTATCACAATCACTACAGAACTTACTAATCAAAGTTGAAGTCAATAGAGAGGACGTCAGCTCTTTCCTATGTTATCATGGTAATCAATTTCGACTTCGGCATATTACACCACGATCGCAGGTTACTTCTGTTTTGCCAATAACTCAGACAGTAAAAACCATAGAGAAAATAGATACTCATCACCATATGATTCCACCTGTGTATCTTGACCGTATGTACATTCTATTTCACTTTCACTGGTTGTCCCTAGCCTCTCCCACTGAGCATTCCTCGGCATTCATTTGTTATACGATTCTGATGACTTTACCAGATATCAAAGAAAACTTCAAGGAATCTAGTGATTTGATATTTCCAACATGGTCTCCACAAATCTCTCTTGATTTTATGGCCAGAAACTGCATCTCGACCTCCATCCTATCATTTGCTCATACCGCTATCGATGATTCATCCCTCTGCCAAGACATCAATATTTTCGCCCATAATCTATGTCTTCAATATCCCACCAAGTTCGGCTTCTTTGCCACCATTCCAACCATAACTATAGCATCCATACCAGAAGTACTCGCTAGCATCAAGTTTTGTTATGAAAGGCTCAACCCCGACGGTTTCACACTTCTGACTAGTTATGATGGGAAATATCTTGGGCATGAAATATTTCAGCCTGTCTGGGAAGAATTGAATAGAATCAGTGCGGTGGTATTCATACATCCCATTGCCAATTCACTCTCTCCACAACTGCTCGCGCATTCCTCGTTAATTCCTCCTATTGTCGATTTCACACATGAAATGACACGCACAGCTTGTTCTCTCATCTACTCTAATACTTTATCCTCATTTCCAAAACTCAAGATCATTCTCTCGCACGCAGGAGGTGCTCTTCCTTATGTTAGTGCTTCGGTTGCAAAGCTGACTTTTGATGCTTCTCTTAGCGTTAAAACACCGGAGCAATTCATGAGGGAAGCGAGAAGCTTTTATACGGACTTAGCAGCGAGCAGTTATAGCGGGCCTATGGAGTATATTGAAAAATGGTTAGGGCCTAGAAGAACTACTTACGGCAGTGATTTCCCGTTCCCAATAGAAAGTACAATGGTGGAAGAGTCAAATTTCTTGGATGGTTGGATAAACAAGAATGGAGATGAAGGGAAGGCGGTTTTGAGAAAAACTGCGTTGGAATTGTTCCCGAGATTGAAGGCTCAAATTGAGCAGGCTCAGGTTGTTGAAGAGAAATCTAGGATTGAAAATCTCAATGCTAGCAGCGGTGAAAGTGATGTTGCTTTCACTAATGCTGTTTGATGCACAGATAGGGGAACCGAAATTGTGTATCCTAGTCGATTGAGTTGTTGGCTTCATTGGCGCAACTGTTGCTCATTTTGTATTTCTTGACTTTGGAATTTGCTCCTGGATGCTTCAATTTAGATAATCATTTTTGTTGATAGCTACAACTTAGTTCTGAATTATCAAGAATCTTGAGCTTGAAGAGCAAGAGATGTTTTGGAGGCTTGCGCTCATCCAATCACTACAATTTAGTCAGTTGGATCTTTGTTATTGTGAGTACGCACCACTAGCTTCTCGAGAATTGCTACCGTGAAGGCAAATACAATGAAATATAAATCGAAGGTTTTGTCAGAAAAGGTCTCACTATGGAGCTCAAACAGGTTTCGACTGATTCTTATGCGGAAATCGGGAGCTCCGTGATTGGGATGCGGGATAATGTTGAGCATACCCAAGATCCCACTCGAGGCAGGGTCTGGACCATTCTGGGTGAAATCCACGCAGTTAGGCCCTCGCTCAATTCATTCCTCGTGTAACCAAATGTAAAATCGGGTCCTCGTACCAGGTGACATCGTCACATGTTTTAAACATTTTACCAAAACTCACTAAACCCAAGTATCAACCTTAGGTATGAGATTCTGACTCTCTGAACAATTGTATGTGTATTGTACGTGGAACTAACTCTTGAGCAACGTCGTCGCGTAACTCGAACTTTGACTCAAAACATTTGCAATAGAGGTTGAAACATATGCTCTGTGCAACAATTCATCATTTAGATAGAGACAAGTGACAAGTTATCAAGCATTTTAGTTGACCTCGAGTTTGTGTCATGGTGTCGTCGGATATTCATTTTTTGTGACTTCCGGGAGGTCTAAACATATATGTTAAACAAGATTTGCCATAGCTTCCACAGGGCTGCATACAAACACATGAATAGTGAGTATGAAACTTATCTCCGTACATTCGATTACGCAAGTCGATTCTCCGCTGTGAGATCTGCAAGTCGAACATGGCAAATGCTACAATGAGATCCTACGCCACTTGATCAATTGTCAACGTGGTGCGGGAATTTGGCACAGCTATCAATGATAAATTTCCCGGCTCCCGGGATTTCTAGGAGCCGGGAAACATTGAAACAACTGGTAAGCCGGTTGGTAGGGAGAAAATTACCGCAATCATTGATGTTCCACAAAAAGGTTATCTACATTGAAACACAGACGGGAGTTCAAACAATTGCCCAAGACATCAAAATATCTCAAATCTACAACCATGTGAGCCCCAAACATCTCATGCCACTTGGGCTAATCGAAATCTGATCATTGATAGTGTTTGAAAGTATGCCAGGGCGAATTCGAGGTACGGCTTGGTGTATCTTTTACTTCACGGAAAGATGCGGCTCCCACGATCAATTTTGGCGCCAAACTTAAGTTACAACTTATCAGAGCATCTGAGCTCAAGTTTAGTGGACTTTTAGAAGAGCAATCCGAAATGTATACACTGGAGTTGAACAAAATAGTAACAAATACTCTATCAGAGGTTGTTCTAACCTGAAGCAGACGATCAGATCTAGTTTATTAGATCAGGATAACATTTCGATGTGATTCTTAGATGCAAACCAAAAGCGTTGATTGGCACATATTCTCTTTCTGAATCGAGACTTCCTGGCTAATTCAACCTCGAAACATTCCCTTGGTGTATATTACAGGATATAACATATCCGGTGCCTTTGTAGAACATCAAAGGAATCTAATCTCATCACAATACTTGTTCCATACACATATAATGGTCTTGGCAATCCGAAGGTAGCAACAGATAATCCCAAATCCAACGGGAAATCAAAGTCTGGTAGAGATACAAGATATGTTGTGTTCAATGATAGTATAGGTATCATCATCCGAAAGTGAATAGATCAATGGGGAGAACTTAGAATTGAGAGGATTGTGCAAGCTGATAAGAAACGAAAAATGCAGTCTAGGCGTCATAATACACACATCCACATTCCAAGGGTGGAGAAAGAGGTAACCAGTGGACATTGTTCAGTGTTAGATGATCGGAATGGAGACCAGTTTCATTGAATAACGTGGCTGTCAAAATGAAACAATGAGGGAAGGTCTTTCATTAATGGATAAATCAGCTTAGCGAGCAATAATGTCTTCCAAATCTCAAGCTATATGACTGATCGTGTGTGAAGGGGTTAAAGCACACGCAATTCCGGTTCATTGACCACTTCATTTAGCCCTTATTGGAGTTCTCAGTTTCAACACGATATACATTGTACACCATGCGTTCTACAATTGACGAAATGCCATCTGTGGCTATATTCTGCCCTCAAAGCAAAGCTCCACAGAAAACTTACCTCGATCGACTACACTCTTTTCTTTGCCGAAACCCATTCTTGAAACCTTTTGTTAACGATATTCAAGATCTTCCACAGACTTGGCAGACTTTCGCAAATCAAAGGGAAGATATCGCGGCTCTCAAACAAGGACCAAGATATATGAAAAATTTATCTAAATGGATTACAACCGGTGAATCTGAACCTATTGCAAATGCAATGTCCGGCATACTTTCATTACCTCTTTTAGTCATAATTCAAATTGGACAGTACTTTCAATTTCTTGAATTGAATGAAATGAGACATTCTGAATTTGTCACTCAACTTCGAAACGGGGGAGGAGTTCAAGGGTATTGTGGTGGTTTATTACCAGCTATGGTAATCGCGTGTTCGAAAGATGAAAACGAATTGGCGAAATATGCATCTGTAGCTATGCGTATTGCCCTTGGAATAGGGGCGTATGGAGAGCTTGGCGATGATGAAAATATTCCAGGACCAACAACAATTGTTATACGCTTGAAACAAATAGGACAAGGGGAAGAGATTGCTTCAAAATTCCCAGGTGTAAGTTACTCTTGTCTTCATATTTATCCCTCAAACATATAGACAGAAGAACCAAGTTTCTGACCAGATTCCAAAATTTAGTCACACATTTCCGCTGTCACTGACCCCAAAACTATTAGTATGGTAGGGTCAGTGCCAGTACTTGCCAAAGTACAAGCTTATGCTCGCGAGCAAGGTCTACTTGTACAAGAAATGCATCTTCGAGGAAAGGTACATAATCCCGAGAATGCAGAGCTCTCGTTAGAATTGTGTGGTCTTTGTGATAAAACAGATTTCCTACAACTTCCACCAGTATCCGCTCTGCAGGCACCAATGAGATCAAATAAGACCGGAAAACTGCTCGAGAACGAATCTCTCAGCCATGAGGCTGTACATACGATTTTAGCATCAAGGTGTGAATGGTATACTCTTCTCACGAACCTAGCAGATGATCTTGAGAAAAGTGCAAGGAAATCACATGTATTCGCAACCTTTGGTATTGGCGATTGTGTCCCGTTGGCGCCATTCCATAAAAAGCAACTGCGCATAACAAAATTCGATGTCCTCAGCGCGATCAACAAAGCCGTGCCATTGGTACCTAAATCACAGGAAGAAACGCATTATTCATTCCCTAGCGATGCCGTGGCCGTGATTGGGGCTTCATGTCGCCTACCCGGTGCGAATAACCTGGAAGAACTTTGGGATCTCATATCGAAAGGAACCTCAGTTGCGAAAGAAGTTCCTAGCGACCGTTTCGACTTACATCGTAGTTTCAGAGCTTCGCAAGACTGGAAGTTCGCCGGCAAAAGGAAGTTTTTTGGTAATTTTTTGGACAGCGTGGAAGATTTTGATCACGCATTTTTCCGCATAAATCCAAGAGAAGCGGTAAATATAGATCCTCAGCAAAGAATCTTGCTCGAGCTCGCATATGAAGCAATGGAGTCTAGTGGATACCTACGTTCGCATAAACGAGAAAACAATGATCCGATAGGGTGTTTCATAGGCGCTAGCTTTGTGGAATACCTCGATAACACAAACTCGAACGCACCAACTGCTTATACATCGACTGGAACTATCAGGGCATTTCTATGTGGTAAAATCAGTTACTACTTTGGATGGAGTGGTCCATCAGAAGTTATCGATACTGCATGTTCTTCTTCACTAGTAGCGATTCATCGAGCAGTCCGAGCTATACAAAGTGGAGAATGCCCAATGGCTTTGACTGGTGGGATCAACATTATGACTGGCGTCAATAATTATTTAGATCTGGCAAAAGCTGGATTTCTGAGTCCTACAGGGCAATGCAAACCATTTTGTGAGTCAGCTGATGGATATTGCAGAGCTGAGGGAGGCGGTTTGATTGTCTTGAAGTTATTGGAACAGGCGATTACAGATGGAGATCAAATTCTCAGTGTCATTCCAGGAGCGGCGACCAATCAAGGAGGTTTATCATCTTCACTTACTATTCCTTCATCCCCGGCACAAATCCAGTTATATCAAAACATATTGAATAAAGCAAAAATGAAACCGGACCAGGTGTCTTATGTCGAGGCTCATGGTACTGGGACCCAAGCTGGTGACCCACTCGAAGTAGCAAGCATTCGACAAGTATTTGGAGGATCCGAAAGAGCCCATTCTTTATACTTGGGATCTATCAAGGGCAACATTGGACACTGCGAGACCGGAGCTGGAGTTGCTAGTTTGGTGAAACTAATTTTAATGATCAACAAGGGAATCACCCCACCACTCGCGAGTCACAATACTCTTAATCCAAAGATTCCAGCTTTGGAGCCAGATCGAATGGCAATCACCACAAAAGCTATACCGTGGAATGTTCCATTTCGTGCAGCTTGCGTGAATAGTTATGGAGCTGCTGGAAGTAATGCTGCCATGTTGTTATGTGAAGGTCCACGGCAACACGTAGGAGCATCGAAGGGACCAGTTCAGACTAGCGCAAAGTATCCAGTCATTCTAAGCGCGTCGACAAAAGATAGCTTGTTGAAGTATGCAAAAGTCCTAGGAGACTATCTTGCTGTAACATCGCCGAGACCAAATCTCATTGACTTGGCGTTTACATTGAGTGAACGTAGGCAGCATCATAAGTTCCGCTGGATTACAACGGAGTCAGATATCGTTCGAGTGGTACAACTCTTAAGAGCGGATCCTCAGTCGTGTTTTGAGATCCCACAAGCACCAAAGCATACCGTCCTAGTGTTTGGGGGTCAAAGTAAACAGACAGTTGGACTTGACAAGAACTTATACCAATCTCATTCTCAACTCCGAGGGTATGTAGATAACTGTAACGATCTTGTTACGAATCTCGGCTTTTCGGCTATCGTGCCAGCAATATTTCAATCTGAGCCAATCACAGATATTGTTGCACTTCAATGTGGCACTTTTGCGATGCAATATGCATGCGCGAAATGTTGGATTGACGCTGGACTGAGAGTAGATGCAGTAGTTGGTCATAGTTTCGGGGAATTGACTGCTATGACTGTAGCTGGAGTACTATCACTACAAGACGGAATAAAATTGATTGCTACTAGAGCTTCCTTGATGCAAACAAAATGGGATCCGGAAAAGGGAACAATGCTCGCAATCCATGCGAATAAGGAGCGTGTACAAGACATCATAGCATGTATTGACTCAGGAGCTGGGGATCTGGAGATAGCCTGTTTCAATGCCCCTACATCTCAAATTGTTGTCAGCAATTCAGTGTCGATAACCGAAGTCGAGGAGTTGCTAAGAACTGATTCTCGATTCAACGGAATTAAATATCAACGACTTGATGTAAGCCACGGCTTCCACTCCAAATTTACGGAACCACTTCTTAGTGATGTCGATGAGTTGTCAAAGACCTTAACATTCAATCGAGCAAAGATTCCACTCGAGACCTGTACCTTGAATTCCTTGGATGAGATTTTGCCAGGTCGACTTTCAGAGCACACTAGAGATCCTGTCTACTTCCTCGATGCCATTCGAAGAATTGAGAGAAAACTAGGACCATGTGTATTTCTAGAAGCTGGAATGGATTCTCCAGGAATAGCAATGGTTAAGAGAGCTGTCTATGAACCGGATGATCATTATTTTCAAGAGATGAAGCTCAGTAACTCTCAAGATCCAATGAATGTCCTTTCGACTATCGCAACAAACCTTTGGCGTGAAGGCATCCCAGTATCTTTCTGGGCCTTCCTGTCGCCGCCACAAGAAGCAGTATATAAACAAATTTGGCTTCCACCATATCAATTCCAACGTACCCCACACTGGTTGGAAAACATAGATAGAGTGATCGAAGCTCAAAATACAACCTCTTCGACCGTTGTCGGGCCTGTAGAAGGACCCCAAGTTAAAGCTCCGAAACAGCTCGTGATGTCAAAGGACGGGTCGCGAAAAAATTACAAGATCCACATTGATACCGAACGATTCACCAGAATTGTATCGGGTCATGCAGTTAGAAGACAACCATTATGCCCCGCATCAATGTATATGGAGTGTGCAGCGATGGCATTACAAATTGCGGGTGCTGATGTTGAAACAAAGTCAATGTTCTTTGATGGCTTGAATTTTCAAGCTCCGCTTGGTGTTGACATGGACCGAGAAGTGTCCTTGGTATTGGAGGAGTCCTCAGAACCACAAATCTGGACCTTTGTAGTCAAGAGTTCGTTGAAGACCGACTCAAAAGTTAGGTCTACAATACACGCAAAAGGGATGATCGGGTTGACTACTCAACCACAACTATCAACCTATGAGAGACTTATATCAGATCGTATCAACGCATTGGCTAAGCAACCGGATACCGAGAAATTGATGTCCAAACGAGCATATGGTCTTTTCTCAACAGTTGTACACTATTCGGATTTCTTACATGGGATTTCAAATATCACGATGGATGGAAATCAGGCAATTGCAGAGATTGAGTTGCGTCCTTTCCCTGTTGAGATACAAGAGAGCACAATCAATCATATCTGCGACACCATCGCTTTGGATAACTTTATTCAAGTTGTTGGTTTACTTATCAATAGTAGCGCTCAATGCTCCTCTGATGAAGTGTATGTTGCTACTGGTGTTGACAGTACAATAATGTCGGCCGCATTATGCAATTTTACAAATTGCAAGTATTGGACGGTCTATGCCATGTTCACGCCAACTAGCAACACCCAAGCCACTGGTGATATCTATGTTTTCACTCGAGATGGAAAATTAGTAATGACAAGCACTGGAGTCAGTTTTACAAAGTTATTGATAACAAAGCTGGAGAAAACGCTTGCAGCAGCAAATCCGAAAGTATTAAACAATGGACCGCTGAAACGAGGGCTCATGAGAACGTTAACGCCGATGACAACTCCAGGGTCACCAATTGAAAATGATTCGAGAAGTAGCATTGATGATTCTGATGATGAAGGGCCACTCACACCCACGGACTTTGCATCAGGGGCAGACAATCTGAAAAATTTGATTGCATCATATACAGGTCTTTCTGATGCGGAAATCATCGATGATGCGAATATTGGTGACCTTGGAGTGGATTCTTTGGCAGCCGTTGAGCTTGCTGAGGAATTGCAAACAAAATTTGGGCAAGAGATCGCAGCTGAGGATCTTATGACGAGCAGCTATGCAAATTTGCTCCGGATTTTTGTTTCCGCATCACAGCCCAGAAAATCAAAGCCTATAAAAGCCACCACAGCGTCATGTGAGATCATTCAAAAATTATACGAGGCCTCTTCTGAGCATGACACCAATTCACTAAGAAGAGAAAAGGTCTTCCGAATGATTTCTGAAATATGTGGAGCTCCAATTGACGAAATTCGAGATTCGGCGGCTCTGCAAGACCTTGGTGTTGATTCGCTTTCGGCCGTTGAGTTGAAAAGTGAGCTTGAAGGAGCCTTTTCAAGAGAAATCGATGACAATGATCTCAGTCTAGAATCAACAGTCAAAGAAGTATTGAAGTGTCTCGGCATTGAGGCAATCCAACAACAGCAAAAGCCTATCACTGTAGTTCGAAGCGGCAACACGGGCTCATCATACAGTTCTGAAGGAGCCATTGAAAGTTTACCGGTAGTCCTAGCAAATCCCATGGACATGATTGAGAAATGCCAAGCAGCTTTTGAACCTGCTGCAAAGAAGCTCGGATATATCAATTATTGGTCTGAAGTTAGTCCAAAGCAAGACGAATTGTTGATAGCATACATTGCAGAGGCGTTTAGAACGCTTGATGTTGATTTATGGAAACTTGGCAATGGGCAAGAGTTGCCAGATATTACTTATCTTACGAAACATGCGAAGGTCATGGCTCGATATATGGAAATCCTGCAGACCGAAGGGATCATTCAAAAGAAAGGCAGCAAGCTTTTTCGAACCCCAAGAAGACTTTCAAATATGAGTTCGAATGATTTGCTACAAAATTTGCTGCGACAATATCCTGCGTACGCAGCAGAATCGAGACTAATGGAAATAACAGGTCCAAAACTCGCGAGCTGCTTGATTGGAAAAGCTGATCCTGTTGCGCTAATGTTTGGTAATCCGGCAGCACAGAAGATAATGGGAGAGTATTATACTACCTCGCCTATGCTTGGTACTCTTACTGAGCAATTAGTCGATTTCATGAGACAAATCGTGATCGACACTACCGGTCATGGACCAATCAAAATTCTAGAGGTTGGAGCTGGATTTGGTGGAACCACCACACGACTCGCAGAAGTTCTTCATGTAATTGGTCGGCCACTTGAATATACTTTCACAGATATTTCTCCTTCACTTGTGAAAAATGCCAAGGCAAAATTCGCGAAGTATGATTGGATGAAGTTCCAAACTTTCAACCTCGAAAAGGATATTCCAGCAGGAATGAGAGGACAATATGACATCGCCATAGGGACAAACTGTGTCCATGCAACTACTAACAAAACTTCTTCGACTAGTCATTTGAGGGAAACTCTGAGAGATGGCGGTTTTGTGGTTCTCTCTGAAGTGACGAAGCTCATTGATTGGTATGATGTCGTATATGGACTTCTTGATAGTTGGTGGTTAGGAAACGACACCGATTATCCTCTTCAACCACCAGAATTTTGGATGGAGTGCTTTAAAAAGGCGGGATTTGCTTCAGCTTCGTATACGGAAGGACCGACGCCAGATTCCAATACTCAGCGTCTACTTGTCGCTTCAACCAAGCTCTTGAAAACTCCAAGTCGTCAAGACGTTACAAAGAGTGATTCGAGATTGGGTCAAAAAACCGACACAGTGACTTATAAACTTGTTGACGGTGTTGAAGTACTGGCGGATATCTTCCTACCGGAAATGGCGCCGATCAATCCAATGCCTATAGGTAAGGTAATATCAAAGCACCATTTCACGGCTTTCATATGTTAACTATTCAACTCCAGCCTTGATGATCCACGGCGGCGGACATATGACGTTATCGAGAAAAGCCGTTCGTCCAGCTCAAACATCGCTTCTGCTTGCGAATAACATAATTCCAGTCAGCTTAGATTACAGACTATGCCCAGAGATAGATCTTATCAATGGTCCCATAGCAGATATCTGTGATGCATATATCTGGGCTCAAACTAAACTGCCAGTGCTTGTGAGCAATAAAGGAATCAAAGTAGATCCTACAAAGATTGTCATGATTGGTTGGTCAACAGGAGGTCATTTGGCAATGACAACTGCATGGACAACAAAGAATCTTGGTTTAGAACCTCCTTGTGCAATATTAGCATTTTATAGTCCTACTGATTTCGAATCGGGAGGTAAGTGAACAGATGTGAAACCAAAATGATCTAAACTAATGTCAGCAGATTTAGATATCAGTCGTGCGAATCAATACCCAGGGAGGAAGCTATCCTTGGACACGATTAGAAAATCCCTCTCCACGCGTCCGGTGAGAAGTTTCCTCATTTTGAATCGAATGATGATAAACTAATGTGAGATTAGATCACAAATTATGATGCTGAGAGTAGCGATTCAACAGGCCTAGGATGGGTTCGTCCAGGAGATCCGAGATCTGAGCTTGTTTTGTCTCTTTTTAAAGAAGGGAGTGGCCTTAGTATTATGCTGAATGGTATCTCTGATGATGGTTGGTGTAGAAAACCGGATCCAGAACGCGTCGCGTTCATTAGTCCTATGGCTCAACTTCGGTCTGGTAAATACACCACACCAACATTTTTGATTCATGGCGAGGATGATGAGATTGTTCCAATTTATACGGCGAAGAAATTCGTGACCGCTTTGAAAGAGCGTGGAGTACGATCTGGTTTCTTGGAAGTGCCTGGTGCGAAACATATTCATGATTTGAATTTGAGGCCGGGTATGGAACAATGGAGGCAGGGTGTTGAACCAGGATACGATTTTTTATTCGAGATACTATCAAGATGAGGAATGAAGAGACTAGATTGATAGAATGCTTGTTAGTTTGGTAGGCGCACTCGAGATTTAATATACAATGTTCTGTTTACATTTTACACTCAGTTAGCTGAATTGTCCCCTTAAGTTAAGGTTACGTAAGCGATTGAAGTCGTCGGCACGGAAATGTAGCAAAGACCGATGCTCCCCTTTCTGTATCTGACAATTTCTTAGTGTAACAAAACCAACAACCACAACATCTTTTTTCAGTCCATTCATCCTGCAGCAAGATCTTGAGTCTGAACACGCGTGATAATGAGGGTAAAAGTCCCGAGACTTGTATCCTTATTCAAACGTATCGACGTACCATAGAAGGTGGCTCACTCAGGAGCAGATGGTTACGCATGTACCCGACAGACGAGAAAATGGCAGAGATGTTGTGACTTCAGATCAGGAACATATCCCTTGATAACGGCGACTCGCTCACTCACGCTCCGCTTTTGTCAAACTCAGCGAGCGCAAGATAGAATTTTTGGAGAAGTGGTCCAACAGACAATAATGCCGCAATGGTTACAAGTGTACAAAGAATTTAGAAAACGGAGAATCAAAAGAAGAATCGTACAATAGCATGGTTAGACACGGCCTTCTCCCACACCGAGATCTCCGATCAATCTTTAGTTTTTCCTTTCTACCTATTCACAACATCTTCTCTCAGCTCACATCCAATTATGATGTTCAAAATGTACATTCTTACGTTCCTATTTGCTCTCGTTCATCAAACCCTTGCCTTCAATAACTTCAGTGTAGATGCATTGGCAGCTCATTTCAGTGAGATTCTCTCACCTGGGTCTCAAGTCTGGCTTCCCGATAGCGCTAATTACACTTCCGCAATAACTCAAAGATGGACAATCTATCCACCAGCTGAGCCTACATATATTCTTGCTTTGAAGCCAGTACTACCTTCTGACATTCAAGCTATTGTGAGTTGTATTCTTTATATCTAGAGGTTTCTAAGTCTCTATCACTTGTGCTGTTCGTCGATATCAACGTCTTCCCCTAAAATGTGAAATACTTCGACTTGATACACCAAGGCTAACACTTCATCAATTGATGATAACGTTTTTCAGATTGAATTTTCATCAAACCACAACATCCCTTTTATGGCAACAGGAGGAGGACATGGATACTCGACAACACTACACAGTTGTAAAAATGGAATCGATATCGATTTAGGTTTCTTCCACGATATAAGAATTGACAAAGAAGCAAGCACCATCACAATTGGAGGATCCGTTAAATTTGGGGAACTCTTACAACCATTGTTTCATGCTGGAAAAGAAATCCGTAGGTTATGTGTACCCTGATCACTACCAAATTCTGACGCCCTCAAGAAACAGGATTAGCAGAATGCGTCGGTGTTGTTGGAGCAACATTGGGTGCAGGACTCGGACCATATACTGGTCTTCATGGTCTGGTGATTGATGCTTTGCTAGAGGTAAAATACGTAACCGGAACCGGCGAGCTGATCACAGCATCTAAAACAGAGAATCCAGAACTTTTCTGGGGAGCTAGAGGAGCCGGTCATCAATTTGGTGTTGTCTATGAGGCCACATACAAGATACATGATGCTACCAATAATGGAGAGCTGGTAGTAGCGACCATGCGATTTCATTCGAGCGATAATGCATCTTTATGGGAAATAATGAAGGATATTGGAAGCAACCAACCCAGAGAAATGTCATTGGCCTTTCAAGTAAATTGGAATGACGAATTTGGTGGTGTAAGTGATTCGCAGGCTAGGCTTCTCTAAAAAGCTAACATCGCTCCTGCAAAATAGCTCAACATCATAATAAACGCAAAATGGGTCGGACCCATGGAAGAAGCCCTCATTGCATTTTTCCCATTCTTATCCCTCAACCCCATTCAAAAAATAATAAGTCAAATCCCCTGGACCAGCATTTATGGCTCATCTGTTCCCGGCGGCGGGAATTTTAGCTGTGATCGCGGCGCAAAGAGTAGTAATTGGGCCGTAAATCTCTACACCATCTCTATTCCAGCATTCACTCACACGCTTCAAAATTTAGCACACTTTTATTCCAAATTTCCTTCATCAAGAGCGAGCGTTTGGTCAATTGAAAAATTCGCCAATTCAGTAACTCTTTCGACACCAGACGACGAAACAGCATATCCGTGGAGGAATACTACAATCTATACTTTTGTCGCTTTGCAAATAAATGACGATTCACAAGATGATATTATAAATGCTTTTGGTGCTTCTTTTCAAGCAGAGATGGCTGCGTCTTGTGGATATGATGATTTGAGGGTCTACATCAATTATGGTCGGGATGAAGGAGAGGAAGTGTGGTATAGCGAGGGAAAATTACCGAGACTGAAGGCATTGAAAAGGAAGTATGATCCAATGCAGTTATTTAGTCACTACAATCCTGTGAGGATTTTTGAACAGCATGAAAAGGGTGTCGACTATGAACACTTGGGAAGGGGGCTAAGATAAGTCTTATATATAAGACAGACGTATTTCGGATGATTTAAAGATAGCTTAACTTTATCAGCTACAATTTTAACCCTCACAAGATAAATCCAATTTATCTTAATACTCTACCTCTTTTCTTCTCCTCCTCCTCCTTCTGCTCCTCATACTACTACTAGTAATAGTTTACTTCACAGCACGTGATACCAGTTCAAAATCTCAACGTCATCATTTCAATCTAGCTCCAGAAGAATGGATTTTATAAATGGACATAATTACCATTGGACCAGCCATACCTTTTAGGGCTCTGGCGTCGAGTTTATAATACATTATATACCTATTCAGGCTAACACCTTCTTTTACTACCAATACCATAAATAAGCATCTACAAATCTAAACCTTCAAAATCCCTTCTAATTAATTACCTTAAATTACTAAACTATATACAGATTTTGACCAATCAATCTACCCTTCTGGCCCCTAGCTTTTAACTTTTAATAACCCTTTCCACAAGCATCTATTCTAGGTTTGATTTGTTTATATACGGTAACGCAGGCTATAAGGTGATTGGTGCGTCTGATATATCAAAGTATTTTGATGTATAATTGAAGAATTTCATTGGTTGATTGCTTATAATTAAGATCCTTAAGACTTATATAGCTAATTAGGAGTTGTGAACATCCCAATCAGGCTAAATGCTTAACGAATCTCATAAAACCTGAATTAAAATCGAATTTTAATTTTTACTGAAACGAACTAAATACTGATTGAAAAGTGGGTTTAAATTATATCGAGGAGTAAAAACAAAACTTGAAAAATCGAATCAAATTTAATTCATCGAAATTAATTAAAAGGTAGGTTTTAACTATATCGAAAAGTAAGGAAAACTTTGAAAAAGAATTTGAGGTGTAAACATGTCGAATTGATTTACTAAATTTTTTGAAAATCTAAAAGATGTCGAAGTCGAAAACGGGAATTCTTTTCTGTGTAGGTCACCAAAAGAATGGATTTTATAAAGAATGGATATAATTACCATTAAACCAGCCATACCCCTTAAGACTTTGGCGTCGAGTTTATAATATATTATATGTCTATTTAGACTAGCACCTTCTTCTGCTCCCTCTCGGCAACACATAAACCTTTTCTGCCCACACTTTACAAGATCCCCTCTCTCTTCATCTACCCTCTGCCTACAATCACCTCGCTTCTCGAAAATCCCGAAAAATGTACACCCTCCTCTATTTCGTGCTCGGTTTCCTGCTTGGAATCTTCCTCTATTCTGTGTCATTCTATTGGGGTTATCCCGCGCTCGTCCGCTCCGTCATCGCTTGCCAACTTCTTACCGTTCCATCATCATCTCGCAACGGACATGTTGCTAGACCTCTTATACTTCCACGTTCTGAATCCCGCCGTGGCCACTGACGAGTTGATCAACCACATTCACAGGAAACTAGAGGAGAAAGATGCCAGACTGATCACAAAATGTTTCACGTCAATGAATCCTTGCCACACTTGGAAATTGGACTCTGACGAAGGGAAAATTCTTGTACCTCTAGCTGATCTGGAATTGAAATTGAATGATATGCCCGAGAAATATCAAAAAGACAACGAGATATTCGTCAAAACCTTCTACAAACAACTGGAGATCAAGAGACAGGGTGAAGAGCTTGCGAGTAAAAGAAACCTATGAGAAATTGGACTCTCTGAAATTCATTTGGACGAGAGAAGAACGACGACTTCGTTTGAAAGACGACGAAGAGAAAATTCCCGAGGGAGCCTGTGATACGGCTGACAAAATGAAAAAGGGATAAACAGGTCCTGACAAATGAGTTGTGGATCATTTTGAGAAGACATTTTCCGGCACTGTTACAACAGAGAAAAGGTATTTAGGATCAATATATCTCATTTGGCTGTACGCATCACAGCAAAATCTTCCTCTATATTAGACTTCATGAGTGAATATTCCCTGTGATAATGAAACATTCAATGGTGACAGATTTAACAGTTAAGGGGGAAATACTTTAATGACCTCGGGAGTCTTGGTCCTTAACATATCTCGCGGGTATCCTCCCGAAGTCCGGGTCTTGTCATTATTTCTACTAGATTCTTTCCATAGTCTAGAAGTCACTCTATGCCTCACGTGAGGGAAATCAATGCTAAATCGAACACATAAATTATTGAGGATACGCCAATAGCCTGCGCTGAAAGTTCTCGCTTGAGGAGGACAGCTCATACTAGTTATCTTCCATACAGTACTGGATCATTAAATTCTTTGAATCTTCACCCAGTGTTTTCCAAATCCACATCTACTAATCTGTCTAGGCCTCCATCTGATGATCAAAACTCAGAGTGTGCCCTTCCAATCCCTCCAGTCTTTGATACATGCCCTTCGGAAAGTTTGGCAGTCAAAAACGTGGCCTATCTAGAGCCCTACGTGGACAAAAGTCCTTGAAATACGTTGAATCTAAGATCTCATTCGAAATGACAGTCTCAGTGCCTGGATGTTGTTTGCAACTGCTGTATATCCGACCTAGATGTTGTTTTTTGATTTTCGGCCGCTTCGTTCCTCAGGGCTTCATGGTATCGATTATCTGTATGATCCTTCGACGTTTGATGCCTTTTCACTATGCCAGCAACATTTCGATAGTCTTTCAATCCCATTTGAATATTGATATTGGGACAGTATGCGCACTCCAAACGAACGGTATTGCCAGAGTAGCGAAGAGTATATTTTGATTGTGTGTATTCGCGTTTTGCGATATCGAGTTGTCTCTGGATAGCTTGAAGGTCAAGGTGAATTTGTCTCTCTTTGAGAATGGATTCAAGGGAACCGTGATCTTGATCATTTGAAGTAGTCTTTTCTGTTGACTTTTGAGGTTCAGACTTAACACTCTGTTTGAACTGTGGATCTCTATTGATAATATCTTGCCTTTGTCGTTCCCATGAAATCTCGAATCGTTTGAGAATTTCTTTAAACTGCAATTTCCCGAATCTTTGGGAACTTGCCTCCATGTTTTTTCGCTGTTTGGCGACATAGTCGTCGTGTCGTTTTAAATCCAATTTTGTGTTTTCAACGAAGGGTTTTAGCAAGTTGATCGCTGGTGCCTTTTCGTTTTTCAACTTCATGAGATCCAGTTTTATGTCTAACTCCGTTCTCATTTGTTGGATGATCTTCTCGTTAGTAGCTTCTGATTCCAACTCTATCCTCCTACGTTTGATGATTTCGGCCCTATCCTCTTGAGCTAATTCTCTTTTCAACATCTCTCCTTTTGTCGCTTTCCCCAGTTTCCGTTTCTGTCCTGCTTTAATAACATAAGATGCTTTGTTGGTTGATGCGGCTTCTGATCGCTCCTTGGACTTCTCTTCTTTCGTTGCAACTGAGGGTGCCATGCTTGACTTATTCTTTGAAAGCTCTCTGAGAGTTTGCTTTCTCCTTGCTCCTACAGTATTATCTATGATTGATGGGACTGTAGTTTCCCAACTCCAAGGCTTTTCTTCTTTCTTTTCACTCAGAGACGACTTGGTCTTGCGTTTGAACTTAATCGCTCTCATTTCTTCATATGCCGTCAAGGTGGAATCGACCGTCATTTTCAACAAGCTCCTGGATTCCTCTTTCTTCTCAATCGAACAAGGTTTAGCCGATGTAATCTGAAGGAGTTCACTGGAATCAATCAACCCCGTTTCCTCATGTGCCATGGCTGAGAGAACCGTATTCTCCAATAATCTCCCATGTTTCTCTACCTTCATCGACCTCGTCTTTTCATCAATATATGTCGAGGAAACTGTATACTCCCACCATTTCTCAACCTTGACAATCTCCCAGAATGCATATACGGCAAGTCCCAAGCATTTGATATCCTCGATTTTGGTATCGATTGACAAACCGACGTCGCCATCCATGAGAATGGAATTTCGACCGGTTCTCTTAAAGTGCGATGCCAGAATTTTTTCGATAGTCACAGTCTATAAACTATTAATCAGCTTGTCACAAATCTAGAATGAAAAACAGATATAGAATGTACCTTCTTAACCTTGATCCATAAAAAATCTCCATGTTCACATTTCTCCAAAGAGATTCCTGGTTGTAAGATCGCGACATAATATTCCCAAGACTTTCGAGGTACGACGGGTAAATTTGAGGACGCGACTCGATGCAGATGACTTTATTATATAATATTAGCTTTGTGCAATGCGCATTTTTGAATGTGGCTTCTGCTTACGTTTTATGGTCTTCCTTCTCTCTCACCATAGCTGCTCTCATCATAGTTGTGGTTCCAAAGGCGTGGATGGAGTGTCGGATAGAAAATGCTGTACTCTAGTAGAGGTATGGAAGTTATAATAGAGGGAGTATCGAAAAGGAATGGTGAAGAAGATTTGAGAAAAATTAGATAGATTGTCGATAAATATTTCTTTCGATATAAACGAGAAAGGGAGTAGATTTGGAGTAGAGACAGTATAAATATGGACGTGGGGATGGAGACGCATGGATTAATATAGATATCAATAGATTAATCAATCTACTGAATTCAATAAGACTTTAAAATTAAATAGGAAAAAACAGCTCTGCAGCTATAGAAGCATGTCGAAAATTCAATATGTTCGTCCTGGGTATGTATGCAAACGACATTTCATATATTGAATGATACTGTTAGTTAGGATATTCCGACTCAAAGAAAAAAAGGATAAATTACCTCGTTACTTGAGGATATACGGCTTGCTCTACAAGCAAACATCTACTACTACTACTACTAAGTTTGAACTTTTGAGGCTTCAAAATGATTTTCATTGTCACTCAGATCAGTGAAGAAATGGTAGTGAATAAACATTGATCATGCTGCGAATCTATCTCTTCCGCGAACTTTGAGAGTCCATGCCTCTTGACAGTTTATATATTGTCCGATTGGAAGGCACGACAGCCACAGTCAGATCTCTCATTGTCTATTCTAGATCCATCTAATTATCTCTGTTTTACATTATGTATATTCTTTCTTCTCTATATTCTCAGATCTCAATATTTATGGTTACGACTCTACCTACCTCACCACTGCATTTTTCATCCCTGATAGATACATCGGAAACATGATGCATTTGAATATAGAAAAATGCAATGCCTTGTAGGATTAATCCTTCTTTTCCTCATTTTGGGTCCATTGACTTAAATACGCGCATCTAGGCACTCGATTCGACTTTCTTCCTTGTGCAAGAGCATCATTCCCACGTATTACATAGTGTTCGATCAATGAAATTATCAAAACGGTTTCCATCCAACGTAATTCGAGCCACGACATTTTGTCTGCCAGCTCTATTCAACCTCGACATCGATAAAGTCAACTTGTTCGATTCATTGACACTGAGTCTCGGGTAGGAGTGTCATTTTGTCTGTCGCTGAGCAGAAACTGAGTTACTTCAGCCTCCATGCTTACCTTTGGGTGCAATGTTACCCGAACTTGTTGAAAAAGTCATTTGAGAAAAAGAAAGGTCACCTACTAAGCATATTACTGACGACGGTGTCTAGATAATTCTGAGAAGTAAGAATGAGAACAATACCATAAATCATCGGGTCAACAATCGTTCGTCAAATCATAAGAATGAGCCGAATATAACTAGGGAAGACGATACACAGCACATCACTCCATAAGTTGATCAGGCTATCACACAAGTACATTCATTATCACTGTTGAAGACTCAGGGGAGGAAACGCGTGTTGATTTTCTATTTACTGCTTCCAAAGAGCCCAAATAAGATACTACGTTACTATCGACACACGAGTGAATCGAGAGATTAATTTTTGAAAACAAAAATTATTAGGTCTCTTTATTCAACAGCTTACTAGTTGCGCCTCTCTTGGATTCTCGCAACTTGCTCTTCGATGGAACGACCCTCACGAAAATCCCTCAAGAGGCGCTCGTAGCCCGCATCATTGCAACGAATGACGGGTCGCCTAGCGTAACCGATAATGACCCCCTGGTAGATAATTGGTCTTACCTCATCGTTGGCGGCAGTGGAGAGACCAGCTCTGGCCTGGGAGCCACTCGAAGCGTTGGAATTGTCCATCTTTCTTCTAGACAACGAGGGGTTAATTAATGTATAGGATAATAGCAACAAATGAGATATGGTGAATAGATGAGACGATATGAATACATAGAACAATGTGAATGTACTTGACAACGAGGGTATATCTTACGGCAAGAATGTACAAGTAGTCGTGGATAAATATAGTGACGAGAATACAGCAGACAGTGTAAGTGTACAGGAAAGTAGCAAATCGTGAGGTTGCATTAATACATGTTACAAATTAACAACGGCGTTACAATTAACATGTGTAATATGCAAATAACGTTGAAAAGCAACAAGCAATCGCACTACAATCGACAACTATGATATACAAATAGTGTTAAAGAAGCAACATCATTATTGAGAAGGGTATGGGTGAGGATACTAACTAGCTAATAGATGGTTTTGTCGTAGAGAATATGAAGTCTTGAAGTTTGAGAGGGAGTGTCGACGTCGATGTCGATTTGGCGAGTTCTCTGAAGTTTGAGGTGCTTCAGAGAATATTTTCGATGTGTTTGAATGTAAACTTCACAATAGGCAGAGCAAATTTTATATTAAATTGATTCTCCAGTCCATATAGAAATGCACACTAAAAATCTGATAGACAAGACCAAAATATATGCTAGACAGGTTAGGGGGAATTAGCGTTTTCGTCAGGTGATTTAAACGAATGCTTTTTGGGGGTTCGACGGATTGGGAAATGAAAATGCTGCTCAGTGGGATGGTGAATAAGGCAGGTTTCATCATTTTTTGATTGGATTTGATTTGCTGGGGAGTGATGGGTTTTGAGTGTGACTTTTGTTGAGTTGGATTATTTTGGGAAGGTGTTGTAGAGTATTGGGAACTTATAAGCTACTAGAGGATACAGGAAAGAAAAATTCAGCTTGTTAGAAATATAAAAACCACGATGAATAGATAGAGAGATGGAGAAGTGAAGGATTTGACATGAACGAGATGCGTAGTGTACACACTACATGTCAACGGTGTTCACTCATACAAGTGGAAAGAATTTGTCTATCGCTCACGTACTTCATCTCTCATCTCTGCAAATCAACTCATGCCCATTCCCTTCTTGGATACTAAGAATGAACTTTGAAAAATCCTCTAGAAAAGTCCTCAACATATATGCCTATAAAAATAGGTAGCCATCCCTTACTGAGTACCTAGATATGTATCCTCATCCTAACTTTACGATTCATGAATGACGAAAAGATCTGGCGTGAGGGCACACATGCTAGATTTTTATGGGATGGAGATGAATTTCTTTATCAACGGAGATATTTAGTTCTTTGGAAGGACTGCATCTGCTGAAATGAGAAGACTTTTCCATGTAGCTTTATCAGATAGTAGAATCGGGTGGAAGCCGGAAATTCCATATGATATAATACAATACAAGGACTTGGCGTGGTTTGGAAATGAAAGGAGATGTAATAGACTTTGCCACCCCATCCTCATGGAACATCGCAACTGGCGCGTGAACACAATATCCTACCTACAACTGCCATCGGCCGCCGGATATCCTGGAGAATCTGGGCAATGGGTAATACATCCCATCGAATGGGATCGAATTATAAATCTTAAAGCTCTATCAAATTCTGTCAATTTCAAGTATTAAGCTGCCATAGTGCCTGCTAGATTTTACCTATTATATTCACGATGGGACGAACTGCCGGAGTACACGGCAAGTGTTACACTTTGATGGGCTATAACGATAATTTTGAATGCGATCCCACTACCGTACATTCAATTCATTTTTTGTCTTCCTAGCATATTCCAAAACGCCATTGCTATGCATGCATACGATCAGATCATTCATTTCACCATCCTACAAACATCTCCCTTTCTCCAACCTCACCCATCGACTCCTCAAATCCCCTGCACCTTTCTATAACTAGGCGGTTTGATCGTTCTCCTGATCAATTTCCCAGCATACGGTGGAATGAGTGAAATTGCCGAAATGGCCGCGACTCTCCATACAAAACCCCTAGATGATTTATTAGCTTCACTTACATGACTCGATGCCCCAGTGGTTTGACAATTCGTGCCCCGTTCATCCTTAACCCTTCTTTACCACAGAATCTTGGGGATGAGAGGAAGAAAGAAAACTTACCAAGTAACAACGAATGACAAGTCAAAATACCCTCCCAAGAATGGAATGCTTCCCAAATATAGCAAACCTGTCCCAATCAGACTGACTATCATAACTGGATGCCATGTCGTTATTTCAAAAGCCACCATCGTGAGTTCATTCAATACCAATACTGTAAAACTAACTGCCACCATTCTCGGTCCATCGACTTCTGTGAGTATTTGAGAGAGACCCTGAATCATTCCACCTTGGTAGATGGACACGAAGACCCAAACAAAAAATGTTCGGTAGGAAAGTGATGAGCCAGATGTAAGTTCTTTATAGAGTTCAGGGTAAAGATTTGCTAGATCTTCGTCAACATCTTTATCAAGAACTAGAGAGAAGACTGGTGCCATTGTATAAACAGTTGCGTAGCCAACGAGCAACCAATCTTTGTATAGGCCTTCTGGTTCGAATTTGATAGCAATGCTATACATAGTTTGAGCCACACTAATGATGAGACCTCTATGGATCACGAATTGGGCCAGTTTAGCACTCCGTTTGTAACTATTTCGTCCATGCCAAACGAGAAGTTTGGTGAGATGACAGAATTGCTCAATGGAGAAATCCGCAGCAAGAGATGCTTGTCGTCCTTCTTTTCCAACTATACCTACACCCACATCCGCAGCTTGAATCATGGAAACATCATTTCCTCCATCTCCAATACAACAAACGCGCTTTTTGGTATATTCTCGAATGAGTTTTGCGACATCCGCTTTTTGAGTTGGTGAACATCGACATGCAACGACTGCTGGGAGAAGGACTGCTAAAGAAATGAATTCGGTTCGAAAATGCGTTAGAAGTAAAGCTAAACTCTCGCCATCGATTAAAAGACAAGCATCAATTTTGCCACGAAGAAAGTCGAGATGATCCCGAGCATTATCCTTTCGCCTGAGCTTATCAATAGTATGTATGTATTGACCTCTAGCTACCAATTTGGCGCTGACAGCAACGCATCGAGCAGTCTCGACTTTATCACCAGTCAACATCCAAATCTTGATGCCTGCGTTTCGTAATAATTCCAAGGAAGGTTTGACATCCTTTTGAAGCTTATCCTCAACACCAGTGACACCTAAAAGTTCAAGGTCTTTCTCAAGGAAATGTGAAACCACACGAGCCATACCGGTATCCCGATTGCTAATCGAAACTGAAGCCTCTTTATAGCTTTGCGAAAAGTCCTTGTAGTTTTGAACAGACATTTTCTTTCGTCCAACAACCAAAGTGCGAAGACCTTCTCTAGCCATATTTGCAGTTTCCTCATCAAGCCAATCATTTGCAGCGACAATTGAAGTCATAACAGTATCTGCACCTTTTTGATAGAACCAAATCTCTCCAGCTTCAAGATTACTACTCGAAGAGGTTTCAGAACCATCAAGGAACTGAACAATGATTCCCATACGTTTTCCTTCGGATGTAAAAGGGAAAACTTCAAGGATCCGAACACGAACGACGGAACGACCAGTATCGACTGATTGTAAAAGCATTCCTTTCCTATCACGATGAATCAACCGCAACCCAACAGCTTCGGTCCATTTAACAATCGCAATCTCATCAGGTGAAGAAGCTTGATAAGATGTAACATCTTGACCATTTATTTCTTCAATAGTTGGAGTGACGTTATGACAAAGAGCGAGAGCGAGAACTACATCACGTACTCTCGACCCAATCTCTCTTCGGGTTCGAGTGGCGGTAACAGTAGTTGAAGCGACAGATGAAGGTGTGACAAGTATTGAAGATTGATTGGCATCTACAGGAACCGAGAATCCTTGTTTGATATAGGAGGCAACTTCATCCATTGCCTCATTCGCATATGAGACAGTTCCAACATGGATTTTCTTCATTTCCATTTCATTTTGCGTAAGTGTTCCAGTTTTATCGCTAAGTAGATACTCAATTCGACCAAGTTCTTCAGGTATAGTACTTGTACGGACAACAGCTCCTTCAATGCCTGGATCTCGTTGGATGAACCAAGAGTAAACACTTTTCCCCATATCCAGATTGACACGGAGACTGATGGGTACGATTGTAGAAAACAATACCAAGAATCTCATGATTTTCACATACCATTTGACTCCTTCAACATGCTCAAATCCTTCCAATGCAACAAGAACAATAGATAGTGTAAGTGTCAAGACGCAAAGGATTTTAGTAAGGGAGTTGATTTCATTTTCAAGAAGACCGGTCTTTGATCGAGATGGAGATGTAGAGAGAGCTGATCTAGTTTGAGGTCCAGTATAAACGATTACCGCCAGAGTGGTAGCACTTGAGGCAAGAACAGTATTGGCCCAAGCAGTATTGTCAATCGTTAATGGTGCTGAATCTCCGTCTTCCTCGTTGTTATCAGGGTCCGCTCCCCCTTTCGGCAAATGTGGGTCATACTCACTAGCACCTTTGGGAAGGAGACTAACGGTACCGATGAATTCATTAACTTTTTTGTCGGGCTTCCCAGCTACAACACGAAGACGTATAAATTCAGAAGGGTCAAGAGATTGTGTTAAAGGAGAGCCTAATCTCAATTTCCAATCTGTCTCGCCATCCAATTGATCTGTTCGAATGAAGGTTTCACCTGCGCCCGCTGCATCTGCTGAAGGTGTATTTCCGAGTTGGGAAGTTGACCCTCGAGATTCCGACGTAGTGGCTGTAGATTGATCAATTGAAGGATCAGATATTGGATCTACCAGTAAAGACGCGGATGGTTCAACTATATTGGTCACTGCAGGCTCATGTGATACCGCAGCTGAAGATTCATTGGCTGTACTCTTCAGAATAACGACATCGGCAGGAACTCTTTGATCCTTTCCTAATTTCAAGACATCCCCAACTTTCAAATCCCTAGATTTTCGGACCACCTCACGAACACTCGAACTTGGTG